TGGGATCCGGAGTCAACAGAGACCAGGCCCTGACCCCTCCTCCCCATTTCCTTTCTATCAAGGAAATATCTTCTCTAACATGAAGAGTTCTGGTCTCCATATGTAGCATCTTTCTTATAAAATGTCCCTCATTTCTCTTTTCTTTCTGTTTTATTTATTTATTTATTTATTTATTTACTTATTGAAATGGGATCTCTCTTTGCTGCCCAGGCTGGAGTGCAGTGGTGCAATCATAGCTCACCGTAGCCTCAAACTTCTAAGCTTAAGTGATCCTCCTACCTCAGTCTCCCAAGTAGCTGGGACTATAGGTGTGTGTGCCACCACACCCGGCTTAAAACTTCCCTCATTTCTTACTGTTCTGGTGGCTTCAACTTTAAGAATGGCAAATGCCTTTTTCGTTTCCTAACTAAAAATGTAGTTAGGAAGAAACGTGTCATGAAGAAAAGGCAAGCCGGTGCGGTGGTTCACGCCTGTACCAGCACTTTGGGAGGCCAAGGCAGGTAGATCACTTGAGGTCAGAACTTTGAGACCAGTGAAACCCCATCTCTAGTAAAAATACAAAAAATTAGCTAGGTGTGGTGGCACATACCTGTATTCCCAGCTACTCGGGAGGCTGAGGCAGGAGAATAGCTTGAACCAGGGAGTCGGAGGTTGCGGTGAGCTGAGATCGCACTACTGCACTCCAGCCTGGCGACAGAACAAGACTCCATCTCTCTTGTTTTTGTTTGTTTGTTCGTTTTAGAACAAAATAGATGGCATTCAATTTTTTTTTTTTTTTTTTTTTTTTTTTAAGAGACGGGGTTTTACCATGTTGGCAGGCTGGTCTCGAACTCCTAACCTCAGGTGATCTGCATGCCTTGGCCTCCCAAAGTGCTGGGATTACAGGCGTGAGCCACCCCACCTGGCCGACTCCATCTCAAAAAAAATAAAAGGCAAATGAAAATGTGTAATGTTTACATAGGTACAGCTACTAATGATCCTATAGATACATAGCTATATCTATGTAAACATTCTAAATGGGTATCCTGGCTCCTCCATCTCTGCTTCTAGTCCTATCCTGCTTCAGGTGGAGCCAGTTCAGGTATCTGTTAACTATACTCAGGGGAAAGGTCCCAGTCATCGAGACACCTCTCCAAAGGAACTATATTATCAAATGTAATATCAACCTTTTTCTCCTAGGATTCATCATTCATGGCAATCTTTAAATCTAAGAAGTCGTATTAGTTCCCTGCCCAAAATCATCAGCTCAAGCTACACTGGCCTCTTTGCTGCTCCTTGAATACACCAGACACACATCCTGCTGCTAAGACTGCCCTCTGCCCAGAGCATTCTTCTCTTAGACATCAACTGCCTCATCTCCTTCAAGTCCACGGAGATGTCACCATCTCAATAAGGATAATGCTTGCCCTGACCACATCATTTTAAATTGCACCCCTACTACAAGGCCCCCACCTCCCCACTCAATCCCCCTTATGTTTCTCTACCTTTTTTCCCTCTTGAGATACAACTGCTTCCTAGGATACCACACAATTTACTTATTTACTAAATTCTTCTGTCTGCTCTCTGTAGAACGTAAGTTCCTTGAGAGCAGAGTCCTTTCTCATTTTGTTCACTAAAGTATCCCAACTGCCTAGAAAAGTGCCTGACACATCATAGGGCTCAATGACTATCAAGTGAATGAGTAGATGAATGAATGATGAATGGATGAATGAGTTATAAGGCCAAAAAGAAAAAAAGTCCAAACTTCCATTCTCCTCTACCCACTGCCAGCAGCCCACAGCCGCTGTTTTGTTACACAAAACAATGCTCTAATGAACATGCACCCATCTTATTGCCTCCCAACTCCCCTGACCCACCAAGTCAATCAGCTCTACCCTCTCCCCTTTTGTTTTGTTTTTTTTTGAGATGGAATCTCACTCTGTTGCCCAGGCTGGACTGCTGTGACCAGATCTCAGTTCACTGCAACCTCTGACTCCCAGATTCAAGTGATTCTCCTGCCTCAGCCTCCCTAGTAGGGATTACAGGCATCTGTCATCATGGTCGGCTAATTTTTGCATTTTTAGTAGAGACAGGTTTTTACCACGTTGGCCAGGGTGGTCTCGAACTCCTGACCTCAAGTGATCCGCCTGGCTCGGCCTCCCAAATTGCTGGGATTAGTCCCCTTTTGTTTTCACCTGCTTAGTTTCTGCTCCTATTCAAAGGTGACAACTCCACTAACTCCTTCCCACTGACTCCTTCCCACTAGCTCCTCTCTTAACTCCCAGCAGCCTCTGGACCTCCTCACAACGCTTGGCACCAGCTCTCGTGCTCTACTTGTGCAGGAGACTGTCTGTTCCCACTAAATTAACTTTCCAGTTAAGCAGTCACAGGATTCATTATTCATCTTTGTATTCCTCTGAGGGCGATGCTTAGAGAAGGGGAATCACTGCTAAAGGGAAATTTCTGCTTGAAAAGCCGCATTTAGGACCAGTGTTTGTTCTGTCCTTCATCTCTGGTTATCATCTGCACCCTGAGTTAAATAACCCACATGGACATCAGGCCATTCCATGAGAAAGCAACTGAGCCAGAGCGCTCAGGGAACATACTTCGAAAAGTAAAGTTTAGAGTGGTCCTTAAAATTCACTGCTCAGACATGAATCCACTTTTGCCACTAAAAAGGTATCCTCCCACTATGGAAAAGACCAGAATCCCTGATGAGGTGTTAAGTCATCTAATTCTCACAGCCTATGGAAGACACTTAAAGGAGATAATAATCATGATATGCTCTGGCTCGCCTCAAATCAAAGAACTGTCTTGTTTTAGTAATGCAAGGTGTCTTACTCCTTAAGGCTCATCCCTATAAAATAGAAACATATAATAAGAAATTTATATATAAACACAGCCCAGTGTGGTGGTAGCTCATGCCTGTCATCCCAAAACTTGGGACGCTGAAGCGAGCAGATCATTTTAGCTCAGGAGTTCAAGAACAGCCTGGTGAAACCCCATCTTTACAAAAAATACAAAAATTAGGCCAGGCGTGGTGGCTGACAACTGTAATCCCAGCACTTTGGGAAGCCGAGGTGGGCAGATCACTTGAGGTCAGGAGTTGGAGAGCAGCCTGGCCAACATGGTAAAACTCTGACTGTACTAAAATACAAAAAAATTAGCCGGGTGTGGTGGGTTATAATCCCAGTTACTAGGGAGGTTGAGGTAGGAAAATCACTTGAACCCAGGACGTGGAGGTTGCAGTGAGCCGAGATCATGCCACCGCACTTCAGCCTGGACAACAGAATGCTGGACATGGTGGTGTGTACCTGTAGCCCCAGCTATTCAGGAGGCTAAGGCAGGAGATTGCTTGAGCCCAGGTGGCAGAGGTTGCAGTGTGCCAAGATCATACCACTGTACTCCAGCCTGGGTGACAAAGAGAGACCTTATCTTAAAAACAAAAAACCATGATGTATAGTATGCTTAATTTACTGTAAACTGCTTTTAAAGGACATTACTAAGTTGGTAGTTTTTTTTTTGTTTTTATTTTTTGAGACAGTCTCAAATTCCTGGGCTTACACAATCCTATTGCCTCAGCTTCCCAAAGTGCTGGAATTACAGGTGTGAGCCACTGTACCTAGCAATCTGGCATTTTCATTTGGATTGATCTTGATGTCTCACACACCTAGCAACTAAAATCGGTCATTTTTCCTTAATCCTAAATAGTGTAGATTCAAATATTCAGATACCATCTGGATCTTGATGTATTTTCACCAATATGTAAATCAACCTTAGAGTTCTGATGCTTCTAGAAAATGGCCCCTTCTGCCACAAGAATAAATGAGTTCCCGAATCAGCCTCATATTAATTAAGGTGAAGGCTGGACTTCTGGGCGGGGTGGGGGGGTGCTCTATTACATTTTTGTTAAAGCAGAAAAGGACACAAAAAGCTCTGGGAGAATCAGCCTTGGTTTTGTTTTTGGCTTTTATTTTGTTTTGTTTTTGCCTCCTTGCTCAAGAAAGCCCATCACCAGCTTCTTCCTAGACATGCTGTGACCAGGTTTCTACGGCCCGTTACGGACTCTCTAAGGGCCCTGAGTCAGAAACTGGGGCCCCTCTCTCCTCACTCGCCGATAGTCACTTCCTCCTCTACAGTGTTCCATCCTGTCACCTCACTCTCTCCATTCCATATTGCTGAGTTCAAAAAACTGGTGTAGCACACCGGATTCTCAAAACAGATACTTCCTACCGCATCCACCTCAACTCCTCTCACAAGATCGCACCATACTGGCCCCCTGGACCCCACAGCGCAGCCTCCCCTTTTGGAATCCCGTTCCCCGAAGACTGGGGTTTTGCAAGGCTAGGAGGCTCCGAGGGGGCGATCCAGCCAAGCAAGAGAGCCGCCAGGCGGAGAACAATGACTGCTCCAAACACCCCCGGGGATGGGATGCCCAGGCAGTTAGGAACGCATTGCTCACCTGGGGCGCGGCCGTCGGAGGCCTCGGGGCCATTCCTGCCTCGCCAGGGCCCGGCTCCGGGGCAGGAGCTGGGAAGAGAGGACAGGGCCCACTCACGCGGCTGCAACACCAACCCCACCCCACCCCGCCCCGCCTCCGCCCCTAAGCCACATCTCTAGCGGAGACGCAGGCGAGGACCGCAGACTCCGCCGGGGCCTGCGGCTCCCCATCCCCGAAACGAAAGGAACGGCGGCCTCCCGGACACCCCCCCCCCCGGCCACTCCCAGTCCCCTTCGCAGGGTGGTGGGCGAGGCCCGGCTGACACCCGCCAAACCCAGGAGGGGTGCCGCCCCGACCCGCGCACTCGGAATCACCGCCTCTTTGGGGGGCTCCGGATTTCACCACCTCCGGCCCACCCAGAGCCTCGGGCCAGCTCCTCCCGCCCCTGCCGCAGGCTCGGTTATCTCCAAATCTGATCTGCGGAGGGGGGTTGCCCGAAGGGGCCTCCAGCGCACCGGGGCCGGACAATGGCCGCAGCGGCAGGGCAAAGCCGAAAGTGCGCCTGCGCACGCGATGCCTCGCTCCCGCAATCCCGGGGCCGCCTCGGTCGCGCGAACTACACTTCCCAGAGGCCCCCGCGCGCGCGCCCCCGCAGAGGCGGCTTTCGAAGGCGCGTTAGGGACCCTTGCGAAGGCCGAGCTAGGCGGCCGGTGAGGCTGGAGTGTGCGTGTGTCCATGTATTCCACCAACAGTCACTGTGCGCCTCCTGTGTGCAATGGGCTTGTTGCTAGCCCAGGAAGTGGGAAAGACCCTGCTTTCGGGGAGCGAGCGTACAACCCTTTGGACGAGGCTGACTATAAAAACGCAAACATATCCACAAGATAATGGTCCTGACTTCGGCTGTAGGAGTGACACAGCAAGGGAGTGAGGCGGCATCAGAGGGCGGGGCACTTGCATCTTCATCAAAAGGTAATTTCTATTTCTCATTTCAGAGAAAAGAGAAACTTCGAATAAATCCGTGGCCTCCTGAACAGTGTGCAAAGGCAAACTGTGCTACTGCCGCGTTATTTCATTATTTGGTAGCCCTTCGTGCAGGATTTTGTGTTTGGGACAAGCCAACAGTGATGGAAATTTTCAACACAAAGATAGGTCAACTTTTAGATACAGCTATTAGGTTTATGTAATTATGTCTTATATGTGACAGATATTCAGTCTACATTTCCTAGATTTCGGTTTGATTTCTTAACATGAGAGCATTGCATACCAACATGGTAGAAAATGACTGCAACAAAATGTTCCTGATGTCACACTGCTTTATCAAAGGTATGAACATTCAAAAATAAATGCTTTATGCCGGATGCGGTGGCTCATGCCTGTAATCCCAGCACTTTGGGAGGCTGAGGAGAGAGGAGCCCAGGAGTTAAAGACCAGCTTGGGCAACATGGCAAAACCCTGTCTCTACAAAAAATACAAACATTAACTGGTTGCAGTAGCGGGCACCTGCGGTCGCAGCTACTTGGGGGACTGAGGTGGGAGGATCGTTTGAACCCGGAGCAGAGGTTGAGGTGGGATGTGATTGCACTGCAGCACTCCAGCCTGGGTGACAAAGCAAGACTCTGTCTGAAAAAAATAAATATAAAAATTAATGAATGCTTTCTATCACTGCTCTGTAGTCTGGGAGGCCTCTCTGAGGCAAGTGACTTAGTAGTTGCGACTTAAGAAGGCAACTGTGGGCTTGACATGGTGGCTCATGCCTGTAATCCTAGCACTTTGGGAGGCTGAGGCAGGTGGATCACCTGAGGTCAGGAGTTCGAGACCAGGCTGGCCAACATGGAGAAACCCCATCTCTACTAAAAATACAAAAATTAGCCGGGTGTGGTAGCCTGCTCCTGTAGTCACAGCTACTTGGGAGGCTGTAGCAGGAAAATCGCTTGAATGTGGTAGGCAGAGGTTGCAGTGAGCTCAGATCACACCACTGCTTTCCAGCCTGGGAGACAGATGGAGACTCTGTCTCAAAAAAAAAAAAAAAAGCAACCACAGGTTCATAAGGGGGAAAGAATTACAGGCTGAAGGAACTGGAGGTGAAAAAACTCTCAGATGGGAACAAGCTTGGTGTGCTTAAAAACAGATGCCTAATGTATCTTAGCAGAGTGAGGGATAAGAGAGTGAGCAGAGCAGTGGTAGGGAAGGTAGACTGGGGTTTGATGGAGCAAGGCTTTGGAGGTCGTGATGAGGGGTATAGATTTTACTCTGAGTGTGATGAGAGCCATTGGCTTAGTAACAGCAGTAGAGTCACTTACTACTATGAGAGAATAAGAGGAATTTTTTCTGTTGTCTCAGGACTCAGAGTGAGTTGAGGATTAAGTTCTGCATTCTAAGGAAAGATGAAAACATTTGGGGCGAGAAATTCTCAGATCTTATCAAAGAAGGCTACGTGCTGAATTCTGAATTTGCCCTGTTATTATTAATCATTGCCTCAATCCCACACCTCTTTCCCAGGCTATATAAGAGTATGATCAGAAAGAAAAGGAAAAATCCCTACCTAGGCACGGTGGGTCACACTTGTAATTCCAACACTTTGGGAGGCTGAGGAGGGAGGATCACTTGAGCCCAGGAGTTCCAGACCATCCTGGGCAACATAGCGAGAACTTGTTTCTACAAAAAAAAAAAAAAAAGCCCAGGCATGGTGGCATGCCGGTAGTCCCTAGCTACTGGAGAGGCTGAGGTGGGAGGATCAGCTTGAGCTAGGGGAGGTTGAGGATGCAGTGAGCTGACATCGTGCCACTGCCCTCCAGCCTGGGTGACAGAGTAAGACCCTCTCTCAAAAGAAAGAAAATAATTCCTCGGAAGAGCAAGCCTTCCAACTAGTGCGGAAGGCAGTGTTCACTCCTACCTGCAAGATGAATGTGAGAAAGGGAAGAACTCAAACATTGAGCCTACCCAGGAGAGGGGGAGGTTTTAAAAACTGACCTATTACCTCTCAGAGAAAGGGAAAGAGAACAATGCTGTTCGTAAGGAAAGCAACCTGAATTTCCGCTGTTTGTGTAGAAAGTGGATGTACTAGAAAATAATTGGGCTTTAGCCCCTGGGGGAGAGGTGTGCAGTTCACAACAGTAAGAGGCTGTGGAATTAACTGGGTGTGAGAGGAGCTCACACCCAGTTGGAGATGGAAGAAAGCTGAAGCAGAGCTGGGTCTTCCAAGTCTAGTATCTATTGGTTTCCCCTAAGGAATTCACCAGATGCACTTTTGCTTCTGGGAGTGTGGCTCAGCAACTTTAATGCTGGATAAAATATTTTAAAAATGTTTTAAAATGTATTGATGAGCTAGAAAATTGGTAAGGAATACAGAAAGGCCAAAAACAAAACAAAATGAATAACTTAGTAGTAGGCAGAACACAGAACACTAGCTTTCATCTGGGAATCATTTGCCAAATGAGGCAAACTTGAGCTTTTTCTTTTTCTTTTTTTCATTCTCTGTAGAGACCGTCAAAAATTAAATTGCCAATGCCGAGTATATTTCAAGTCATTATGGCAGCATATTGAGAAAAGTTTTCAATTAGCAATAATTGCGCCTCAGATAAACCTCACTGGTTACGATACTGCCACTGCATGAAGCTAAGAGCCTTGTTTTTCATAGTCCTGTAGGCATGAGAGCCAGGTGACAAAACCCTGACCCTATCCAAAGTAGAGTATCTAATAGGAGACACTCCCCATGCTGCAATAAAAATTGGAACTCCATGGATGAATACTCCCATGGTAGAGACTGCAAGGTAAATTACCTTTTTCAATCTTTAACAATGAGTAGGGGGGCTAGTTGGGGTGGATGTCTTCCTTGAGAATTTGTAACCACAAGCTGGTTCCTATGTGGAATTACAGCCTGTATTCACAGTCCCTGAGTGGTCCAAAAACCTGCAAGCTGAGAATGTAGTTTAAATTGGTTCTTGGCTAACAGTGCTTCCAGGCATCTGGAAGAATCAAACATAAATCCAGTCTGGGAGAACTCACCTTCAGTTCAGACTTCAAAGGACTTCTCCACATATAATCCCAAGAAATAGGAGCTCATAGTCATGAATCACAAACATAAAGCACATATAGAAAACATGGAACCATGAATGACAGGAAAAAAATAGTATAATAATATTTATAACAACCTCAAATATACAGAGTTGTCTGACACAAAATTTATAATACTATGTCTAATATGTTTCAAAAATCTATTTCAATAAACTAAATTTATATGTCCATATGAATAAACCAAACTTTATTCATATGGACATATTAATAAAGAAGAAGACTCTAAAATCTTAAGAATCAAATAGAATGTTAATAATGAAAATCTTTAAGTTAAAAATGTAATGCACAAGGTTAACAATAGATTAGATGCAGCCAAAGAGAAAATCAGTGAATAAAAGGTCAATCTCGGAAATTATCTATAAATAGACAGAGATGAAAAAAAGTTAAAAAAAAAAAAAAAAGCAGAGAGCTATAACATATCTAATCTGGATTCCAGAAGAAGAAAAGAAGAGAATTGAGGCAATATTTGAAAAGATAAAGGCTAAAAATTTCCAGAACTGACAAAAGATATAAATTTAAAGATTCTGGAATCCTGACACTCCAAGCCAGATAAATAAAAATAAATTTACACTGAGACACATCCTAGTGAAACTGTAGAACACCCAAGAAGATCTTTAAAAACCTAGAGAGGGCTAGGCACAGTGGGTCACGCCTGTAATCCCAGCACTTTGGGGGACTGAGGCGGACGGCTCAGACCATCCTGGCTAACATGGTGAAAACCTGTCTCTGCTAAAAATACAAAAAATTGTCCAGTTGTGGTGGCACACTTCTGTAGTCCCAGCTACTCAGGAGGCTGAGACAGGAGAATCGCTTGAACCCAAGAGGCAGAGGTTGCAGTGACCTGAGATCGCACCACTGCACTCCAGCCTGTGTGACAGAGCAAGACTGTCTCAAAAAGAAAAAAAAAACCTAGAGAGAAAAAACAGATTACCTTTGAAGGAATGAAAATTAGAAGATGGCTAGCCACGCATGGTGGCTCCCAGCTTCTCAGGAGACTGAGGCAGAGGATGGCTTGAACCTGGGAGGTGGAGGTTACAGCAAGCCAAGATTGCACCATTGCACTCCAGCCTGGGCAACAGAGCAAGACTCTGTCTCAAAATAACACCAACAATGACAACAACAACAACAAAAGCAAAATTAGAAGATAGCAACAATGGAAGACAGTTGGAATTGTATCTTCATGAATGAGGATTAAATAGAGGCATTTTTGGAAAAACAAAAAACAGAATGTCATCAACAGAGACTCATTAAAGTTGAGTGTCTTTCAAATGGAAGGAAAATGATTCCATATGGAAAGTCATATATAGACAAAGAAAGAGTGAACAAAGAAAATGGTAAATGTGTAAATCTAAATTAAAATTAACTGTATAAAACGATTATGTCTTGTGGGTTTAAAAAAAGATAAAACTAAAATCGAAGTCAGCAGAAAAAAATCAAGGTGCTGCTGATGAGAGATTAAAGGTTCTAAGGTTATTATATTGTTTTGGACGATAAAGAGGGACTTCAGTAGGCTGACTATATGTCACAAAGGTCCCTATGGCCTCTTGGTCTCTTACTTTTTCTGAATGTCAGCATTTGTTTCTCTTCCTCCTTTATGAAGAACTCATAGCCAGTCAACTGAACATTTTTCCTACCAGGGCTCTTGATTCCCTTATCCCCACGTTGTGCTGAAACTGCCCTACAAAATCCAATATCGAGTCAGCTGAAAATTGCTGGGAGAATTAGCCTATTGACAGGTTTTTTTGGGTTGTTGTTTTTCAGATGGAGTCTCGCTCTGTCGCCCAGGCTGGAGTGCAATGGCGTGATTGCTGCTCCCTGTATCCTGGGCCTCCCGGGTTCTGCCTCTCGGGTTCAAGCAATTCTTCTGTGGAGTAGCTGGGATTACAGGCGCCTGCCACCATGCCCAGCTAATTTTTGTATTTTTAATAGAGATGGGGTTTCACCATCTTGGTCAGGCTGGTCTCAAGCTCCTGACCTCAGGTGATCCACCCGCCTCTGCCTCCCAAAGTGCTGAGATTACAGGCATGAGCCACCGCGCCTAGCACCTGTTGACAGTTTTTTAACCCACTTTCCAACCCACTTCTCCACTTCACCTCCAGTCTTAGAGACATATGTTTCTTTGCTGATTTGGAGAAAAGTTCTCTCTCTGGGGATCCTTGGTCCCCAATCCCTTCTAATCTATCACCTGTATTTTTTTTATATACATTTCTTCTCACACTTTGTTCTTTCTTTTGGCTTTTGGCTTTTTTCATCAGATTTATAACCATGCTTAAATCTCTCCCTTCTGAAAGAGAGAAAGGAAGAGAGACAGAGACTGAGAGAGAGATCATTTCTTGTCCCCAGGTATCTCTCAGCTGCCGTTCTTCTTTACCCCTACCCATCTCATCTGAATTTCTAGAAAAAGTATACCATCTTGTATGGTGTAAGTCTAGAAAAAGTATACCAGCATGCCTTGTTTGACTGTAGTTTGGCTTCTACCTTTACCTTACACTGATGCTGATTTTGTCAACTTGATCAGTGATGCTAGTTGATTACTTGAATGGATATCAGGCAGATTTTATCTTACGCTATCTGGCACTTATCTCCCTGAAACTCTTTCCTCTATTGTCTACTAATACTGCCTTTCTGGAGCTCCTAGATTTTCTCTACATCCCATGTTTCTCCCCACTCCACCCATTTCCTTTCTTTTTCTTTTTTTTTTTTTTGAGATGGAGTTTTGCTCTGGTCACCCAGTCTGAAGTGCAATGGTGCAATCCTGGCTCACTGGAACCTCCGCCTCCCAGGTTCAAGCAATTCTCCTACGTCAGTCCCCTGAGTAGCTGGGATTACAGGCGCCTGCCACCATGCCCAGCTTTTTTTTTAATTTTTAGTAGGGACAGGTTTTCACCATGTTACTCAGGCTGGTCTCGAACTCCTGACCTCAGGCAGTCCACCCTCCTCGGCCTCCCAAAGTGCTGGGATTACAGGCATGAGCCACTGTGGCCTGCCATTCCTTTACTTTCTTAATAAACTGCTTTTGCGTTGCACTGTGGACCTCGCCTTAAATTCGTTCTTGCGAGAGAGCCAAGAACCCTCTCTTGGGGTCTGGATAGGGACTGCTTTCCTATAACAGTAGTGCTACCGAGGTTCATCCATGTTAAAGCACGTATCAGTAATGCATTCCTTTGTACTGCTGAATAACAGTTGATTATATGGCTATGTCACATTCTGTCTGTCTAGTCATTCATCAGTTGGTGGGCATTTGGGTTGTTTACACTTTTGGCTTTATTTTATTCACAATAGCAATACTGCTATGAATTTTTTTTTGTGAATATTTCTGTATACATTTTTATGTGGACGTATTTTTCATTTCTCTTGGGTATATACTGAGAAGTGGAATCACTGGATATTTGGTAACTCTATGTTTTACATTTTTAAAAACTGCAAATCTGTTTTTCAAAGTGGCTGGACCATTTCACATTCCCACCAGCAATGTATGAGGATTCCAATTTCTTTGCCATTGGTTGCACATCCTTGCCAGCATTTGTTACTGTCTTTTTTATTATAGCCATTCTAGTTGTGTGTGATTAACTTTATGTAGATGTCACCGCAAAAAAAGTGTAAATTAAAAAATATTTTGGCTGGGCTCAGTGGCTCACACCTGTAATCCTGGCACTTTGGGAGGTCAAGGCAGGCAGATTGAGTCCAGGAGTTCAAGACCATCCTGGGCAACACGGCGAAACCCTATCTCTACTAAAAATACAAAAAAAATTAGCTGGCTGTGGTGATGCACACCTAGTGTCCCAGCTATTCGGGAGGATCACCAGGGCCCAGGAGGCAGAGGATGCATTGAGCCAAGATCGTGCCCTTGCACTCCAGCTAGACAACAGAGACCCTGTCTCAAAAAAAGAAAAATAATCTTTTTAAGCCACACAAATATTTTTCACAATGAAAGGCAATGAACAACAGTAGCGGAAAAACACAAAACACACAGAGCACAGGAGGTGTTCAATAAAGGCTAATTGATTCCTAGAGTTTTCCCTAGAAGTATATCCACATTTTAGAGAATGACTCAGATTGGCTCTGAACAATTTGGAAGGTAACATCATTTCAGACCCATTTTCTCAACTTCTTCTTTTTCTTTTCTTCTTCCTCCTTCTCTTCCTTGTCTTTCCTCCTTCTTCTTCTTCTCCTCCTCCTCCTCCCTCTTTAAACATGAAAAGCTTCACAAATTTGCATGTCATCATTGCACAGGGACCTTGCTCCTCTTCTTTGTTCCAATTATAATATAGGTGCTGCAAAAGTGAGCACCCAACCTCTTGTATGCCCTTCTTAGGTGCTCCCTCCCAAACCTGCTCCACCTCCTGTTTATTTTGATGAATGACATCTTTATTCACATGGGTATAATAATTCTGTCTTTATCCAGCAGAGCACAACCAGCATTGCATTCAGGGCCTCACCACTGGGCCTTTCAACCCATACATTTTCTAACTCCTGACCTCAAGTGATGTGCCCACCTCAGCCCCCCAAAGTGCTGGGATTACAGGAGTGAGCCACCGTCCCTGGCCCTTCAGCCCATTCATCCTCAAACCGGGGCTATGCTTTGCCTAATTGTATCCTGTGGTGGGCAGAATCCAATCTGTCCATGGATTTGGGGTGGAGGTCACTATTTCCTCAAAGATGCTAATGTCCAGATTTCCAGAAACATCGAACATGTTTCTTTACAGGGCAAAAGAGATGCTGAAGATGTGATTAGGGACCTTGAGATGGGAAGATTATCCAGGATCAGTCTAATCACAAATATCTTTTAATATGGAGAAATTTTTTGCTGTGGTCAGAGGGAGATGTGACTATGGAAGAATGTCCAAAGAGGTGCAATGTTGCTGACTTTGGAGATGGGGGAAGAGGGCTGCAAGCAAGGAATGTAGGTGACTTCTAGGCTGGAAAATCAAAGAAAGATTATCCCTTAGAGCCTCCAGAAAGTAACACAGCCCTGCTGGTAACTTGATGTGAGCCCAACACTGTATACTTTTGAGTCTACCTAAAAGTACTTCTGAGTTTCTGCTTGAGTTATGGCCACTGTGAACTAAAAACATGACAGAGGGTCAATGAAAAACTGAGTGTAAATAAGGACTAGTCCGTGTATTTAAAGACATAAGTTGACAACAGTAAATAAATAAACTGTGATATATTCAAACACCAAATATAATAAAAGGAAGGAAGAAAATTGGCTACATTCTAAACATGATGAGTCTCAAAAATAATACTGTGTAAGAAGACATTGAGAAATACTAATAGAATCGTTTCATTTCTATAAAGTTAAGAAACAGGGCAGGCACGGTGGCTCATGCCTGTAATCCCAGCACTTCAGTAGGCTGAGGCAGGTGGATCACTAGAAGTCAGGAGTTCAAGACCAGCCTGGCCAACATGGTGAAAGCCTGTCTCTACTAAAAATACAAAAAAATTAGCTGGGCATGGTGGCACATGCCTGTAATCCCAGCTACTCAGGAGGCTGAAGCAAGATAATCACTTGAATCTGGGAGGTGGAAGTTGCAGTGAGCTGAGATTGTGCCACTGCACTCCAGCCTGGGAGACAGAGTGAGACTCCATCTCAAAAAATAAAGTTAAGACACAGACAGCCTTTATGTATAAAGTTATGTGATATATATTCTTTGAAAAAACTCTATCAAGAAAAACAAGGAAACATTTATTATACAATTAAAAATAGGCTTCCTCTGAGGAGAGGGAGAAGAGTGTGAACAAGAAGGGGTCCATCCAACCTGGGCATGGTGGCACGAATCTGTAGTCCCAGCTACTTGGGAGGCTGAGACAGGTCTCTTGAGCCCAGGAGTTTGAGACCAGCCTGAGCAACATAGTGAGACCCTGTCTCTCTTAAGAAAGAAGAATGAGGAAGGAGGAAGAAGGATGGATGAGGGGAAGGAAGAGGAAAAAAATGAGAGGAAGGAGGGAGTGGAAGGAGGAGGAGAGGAAGGAAGGAAGGGAAGCAAGGAAGGAAGGATTGATGGATTCCAGGGTCTGAATCCTGGAGCACTCCACTGTTTAGAGGAAGGAAAGAGGGAGGAGGAGGAAGAGGAAGAAGAAGAATAAAGAGATGGAGAAGAAAGTGGGGAGAAGGTAGAAGGAGAAGAAGGGAGAGAAAGAGAAGAAAGAAGGAGGAGAAGGGAGAAAAGGAAGAGAAGGGGGTGGAAGAAGGAAGAAAAAGAAGAAGCCTGTGATGGTTGAGTGTCAGCTTGACTGGATTGAAGGATGCAAAGTATTGCTCCTGGGTGTGTCTGAGGCTGTTGCCAAAGGAGATTAACACTTGAGTCAGTGGACTGGGAGAAGCAGACCCACCCTCAGTCAGGGTGGGCACCATCTAATCAGCTGCCAGTGCGGCTCGGATAAAAGCAGGCAGAGGAATGCGGAAGGTCTAGACTGGCTGAGTCTTCTGGCCTCCATCTTTCTCTCGTGCTGGATGCTTCCTGGCGTTGAACATCAGACTCCAAGTTCTTCCGCTTTTGGACTCTTGGACCCACACCAGTGGTTTGCCAGGGCGTCTCAGGCCACCCCAACCAGGACCACCCCTGAGCCCTCAACCCTGCGTACCAAGGGTCAGGGGTGCACCAGAAGTGGGGTCTGACTAGTGCAAGTCTGCTGACTGCTGCTGTGGAGGGGGCCCCGCCCAGGCTTTACGACCTGAGCACTAGGGAAGGAACCGAGCCCCTGAGGAATAGGGACTGGTTGGCAGTGAGTGCCAGAGCAGCGAGGCGCACCCCTCGACTGCCATACCGGGTTCGAGGCTCCGTCCCCTCCTCTCCGCTCCAGGTCCGCGCTCAGAGCTGGGGGCGCGGGACTCCGGGAGCAAAGCGGCAGACGAGTAGCATGGGAAGTGCAGCCCTGCCTCGCCCAGCACCTGCCGCAGTGGGTCAGGGGCAGCTGGACTCCGTTCCGGCCGTTGACGTCGGGTTGCAAGGCACAGAACTTCCCTGGTGCTGAGAGCCCGCAGCCATTTTCTCCCGCGGGTCCCTACCTCTGCATTCGCAGCGGAGACGCGGGCGGGGAGGAGAGGGCGGGGAGGGGAGGGGAGGGGAGGAGAGGGGAGGGTGGGCAGGCGGGAGGGCGTACCTCCCAGCCAATCAGAAGCCACGTAGTTTGGCGCGCTGTCTCCATGACAACGGCCTTGTGTTCCGCTAGCTACTCAGAGTTAAGAGGCGGAGAAGACCAACTCGCACATCCACTGGAAACCAGCAACACAGAGGCGGGACCAGAGAGACTGGCGGAGGTCTCCAGGTCCCCGAGTGGTGCCCCAAAGCCTCTTCAAACCCCGCGCCCCGATGGGCAAGAGGGCGCTCCTGTGCTTGGAGGGCGGAGGATGAGGCACTCAGCAGGACCTACTCGCATCCCAACCTGAGAGACCAAGGACCTGTCGTTAACGTTCAGTTGCCTTCCTTATTGCCTGCTCTATCTTACACATCCACGAGGACCCCATTCTCCATGATGTGCTTATTTCGCGTTGCATGTTTGTATCAAAACATCTCATTGTCCCCGTAAATATATACACCTACTATGTACCTACAAAAATTAAAAACAAACAAAAAACATCCACGAAGGACCGGGCTTGGTGGCTCACGCCTGTAATCCCCACAGTTTGAGAGGCCGAGGCAGGGGGATGGCTTGATCCCAAGAATTCGAGATCAATCTGGGCAACATAATGAGACCCCACCTCGTCTCTACAAAAAACAAAAACAGAAACGAAAATTAGCCAGGCATGGTGGCGCACGCATGTATTCCCAGCTACTTGTGCGGCTGAGGCAGGAGGATCTCTTGAGCCCAGGAGATAGAGGCTGCAGTGAGCTATGGTCGCGCCAGGGCACTCCAGCCTGGGTGACAGAGTGAGACCGTGTCTCTGAAAAACAAACAAAAAAAAAAAAAAAAAAAAAAACAAAAGAAAACAAAACTTTAACATCCACGTGCACTGGACTTCCAGTTCCTCACTCTGCCCGGTGTGGGTCCAGCTTTCTGGCTGGGGCCTCCCCCATAGCAAGAGTATCCAAGTTCCGGTAACTTAAAACATTCATTAAAATGCCCCACCCATTGGTTTCCACGAAAACCGTGAGAAGAGTTGGGATCCAGCGAAAGTAGCCAGATCCGCTACTGTTAAGCTGGAGGACTTGTAATTCCTGGAGCAATAGGGAACCCGGGTCCCATGACGGGAAAACAAGGGTGAACCGCTAAGTGGGGTCTGGGTAGCTTCTGACCTCCTCTGCGGGGTCTGAGGCCGAGATGCGCGTCCACCTGCTTTGGATCCCGGGAAAGCGTCTCCCAGCACCCGGGTACCCTTCCTCTACTGACACCAGGTGTCTGCTTTGCCTCGACCTTCCTCCGGGTCCATCTCAAAACTGCTAAGTTCGAGCGCCACCTGCCGTCCTCTGAGACGCACTACTGCTGTAAAGTCAACAGCGTAGCAGCACTACCTGCAGGGGCGGGGCGAAGCACTTCGCATACATTATCTCAACTGAATTTAACAATCTGTGAGGTAGATATTCTCATCCCCGTTTGACACCTGGGGAAACAGGTTCAGAGAATTTAAGGAACTTGCCAAGCCCACTCTGACACCAAGTGTCAGATGCAGGATTCAAGAAGCCACCGACTCCGGAGCTGTATATACCCTCCCATGTCACAGCTGAGCCCACCGTGATTCTGTCTTCCAGGGCCCTCCAGGAGCCCTTCTGCCCTGCCTCTGACCTTGTGGGCTCACCACGGTTCTTCTCCAGGGCTTTCAGGCCCCTCTGCCGACCGCCCCCGGGTTGAGAGACAGGCTGGCGCTGATCTGATGGCCAACACCATGTGTGCAGGCCACCACACCAGAACCTGAACTGCATCAGCAAATTGTTTACTTATACGCAGTAGATTTAGGAACTAATATTCTATGAATCAACATGTACGTTTACCTATTTTATATGTTGTCATGGGGATCTCTCCCCTGCCCCACCCACCCAGCCAGCATCCCTTCCTTCATCTCTCAGTAATAGCACTCTCTTCCTTTGGGGGCAGTAATAGCACTTCTCTTCTCCCACCTCTATGAAGTTCTGGTGATGTCTGGTCAATCACAGACTTCATGTGACCCAGCAGGCCAATTAGATGCTTCCCTCTGGATGTTTTAGGTAGATGCTCTGTAGAAGGAAGCCTTTCCCCCTAGATTATAGCAGAGCGGTGAGGACTGGAAACCAACACACAGACAGGAGTCCAGGGTGCAGGCTGAGAGAGAGGGAGGGGAGGAAGAGATGAGGGATGGGAAAAGGGATGGGAGGACGGACGGGAAAGGAAGAGGCAGAGAGAGAGAAAGAAATTCTCTTTGTGCCAGTCCCAAGTTAGCTAGCCCTTCGTGCAGTTCTAGCCCAGCTCGTTTCAGTTTAATTATATGCACCAATAATTTCTTCCTGTTTTGTCCTACGCCAGTTTAAAATTGGTTCTCTGGCCTGGCGTGATGGCTCACACCTGTAATCCCAGCACTTTGGGAGGCCAAGGTGGGTGGATCACCTGATGTCAGGAGTTCCAGACCAGCCTGGCCAACATAGTGAAATCCCATCTCTACTAAAAATACAAAAAATTAGCTGAGTGTCATGGTGTGTACCTGTAATTCCAGCTACTCAGGAGGTTGAGGCAGGGGAATAGCTTCGGGAGGCGGAGGCTGTAGTCAGCCAAGATCATGCCACTGCACTCCAGCCTGGGCAACAGAGTGAGACTCTGTCTCAAATAAATAAAGTCAATAAATAAGTAAAATGGATTCTCTAACTCCAGCAACCAAAGAGTCCTGGATAATATTACATGACACTAACCACCCCCGAACTCAAAATATTCGAAACAGAATAAAGCTGGTAGTTTTCGTTAAACTTTTAATTTTCAGTTAATGATAGATGCACAAGAAGTTGGAAAAGTAGAACGAAGAGGTTCCAGATACCCATCACCCCGTTTCCCTCGATGGTGGCACCTTACATAACTCTAGTACATTCTCAAAATCAGGAAATTGATATTAGCACAATATATTTATCTGGAGACCTTACTTAGATTTTTACCTGCTTTGCATATATTTTTTATGTCTTTGTGTGTAATTCTATGGCATCGTATCATATGTGTACATTCATAGAACCATCATAAATTTAAGATACAAAACTCCTATTACCACAAAGAAACTCCCTTTGGGCTACTCTCTTATGGTGATGCCCTCTCTAGTTCCTTCTCTAATCCTTGACAATCACTGATCTAGTCTCCATCTCTATACTTTTAAAATCTCTATTACTTTTAAATGTTATATAAATGAAATAATGCAGCATATGAGCATTTGAGATTGTATTTACTGTTTTTTTTGTTTTTTTTTTTTTTGAGATGGAGTCTCACTATATCATCAGGCTGGAGTGTGCATTCTTGGCAAACTGCAACCTCCGCCTCCTGGGTTCAAGCAATTCTTCTGCCTCAGCCTCCCGAGTAGCTGGGATTACAGGCATGCACCATCATGCCCAGCTAATTTTTGTATTTTTAGTAGAGACAAGATTTCACCATGTTGGCCAGGATGGTCTCAATCTCTTGATCTCGTGATCCATCCGCCTTGGCCTCCCAAAGTGCTGGGATTATAGGCGTGAACCACCAAGCCCAGCCCAGATTGTATTTACTTTTTACTCAGAATAATGCCCTTTAAGTCCACCCAAGTCATCATATGTATTAATAATTGATTCCATTTTATTGCTGAAGACTGTGCTATTGTATGGAATACAATTTCCTTGTATGGAAAACTGTAACACAGTTTGTCGTTAGTTCAGTCTAATTAAAGTTTCTTATTCAGATATATGTTGGGGAGGGCAGATAACACCAACAACAAAAAAATGGGCACTCAGCTCCCCGGACCCACTCAGTGAGCTGTGAGCATTTAGGGCCTCGTCACAGACACCCTGTGGTGATGTCTGATAGATCTGATCTTGGTCAAGTTATTGACACCTCCACAAGCCCCAGAAAATGACTTTCAGTTCAACAACAGTTCACTGAGCACCTAGTAGGCCAGGCTGTCTGAGTTCCTCTGGTGTTCTCCTGCAACCCTGGGCCAATCTGAAGGGCTCTACAAACCCTTTTTTATTTTTCATGTATTTTCATTTATATAGAAATGGGGTCTCATTATGTAGCCAGGCTGGTCTTGAACTCCTGGGCTCAAGCGATCCTCCTGCCTCCGCCTCCCAAAGTGCTGGAATTACAGATATGAGCCACTGTGCCCAACCTTCCACACACTCTTGATTCATCTCAACTGGGGTGACTCAGGCCAGAGGCAAGTGGTGTCACCTCAAGGTGATGTAGTTCTTGCAGTTAACAAGGGCCAGCAATCAGGAGACCTCACACTGGGCTCCAGTTCAGCCACCTGGCTCTCCCAGAGAAGCCCTCCTCAGGCCAGTCACTTGTCCTTTTGTCAGTTGATGGATGGGCCCCAGGAGTACCCTAGCATCCTGTCTTTGCCCTCACCCTGTGGCCTGGTCTCTTTTATCCCAGGCTTTCCTCGTGGGCTTGAATTCATGAAGAATGTCCACCCATGCAAGGTTTTCCCCAGATACCTCTGTGCTCCTGAGACAAGTTTATTCAATGACCCAGGGATGTGGTTTGTTGTGGGGAGGGGTCTGATTCCACGCAGCCATTCAAGATTTGGATGGCATCTGAGGGTCTTTGCAGCCAAGCAGAGGACTCTGCTTGGACACAAGAAAGTGGACAAGGCTGGGCATGGTGGCTCATGCCTGTAATCTTAGCATTTTGGGAGGCCAAGGTGGGTGGATCACCTGAGATCAGGAGTTTGAAACCAGCCTGGCCAACATGGTGAAACCCATCTCTACTAAAATTACAAAAATTAGCCAGGCCTGTGGTGGCTGTTCGAGATCGTGCCACTGTACTCCAGCCTGGGCAACAAAGCAAGCTCTGTCTCAAACAAGAAAAAAGAAAAGAGAAAGTGGACAAAATGAGCCAAGAATAGAGAAGGAGGGCAGAGAAAGAATGAGGGACTAGAAATTAAGATTGGGCCAGGTGAGGTGGCTCATGCCTGTAATTCCAGCACCTTGGGAGGCCGAGGCGGGCGGATCACTTGAGGACAAAAGTTTGAGACAGCCCCCGGCCAACATGGTGAAACCCCGTCTCTACTAAAAATACAAAAATTAGCCAGGCCTCGTGGCATGCACCTGTAGTCCCAGCTACTTGAGAGGCTGAGGCACAAGAATCGCTTGAATCTGGGAGGCAGAGGTTGCAGTGAGCCAAGATTGCACCACTGCACTCCAGCCTGGAGACAGAGCAAGACTCCTTCTCAATAAATATATAAATAGTAATAAAATGAACACATTGCTTGACTGGGCTTTGCTCATTTGCATTGCTTTATTCCATTGTGTTCCACTTTCTCTTCAGCCCTGTTTCCAGGTCTGTTGTTGTGTGATCTCCAACCGCCTTTCCCTCTCTGGGTTGCTATTTCATCTGTACAGTGCAGGAGCTGTTTTGGCTGATACGAAACACCGTTTTAATTTTTTTCTACCACAACTGCTAAGCCCGGTTCAACCAGTGAAGGTGTGACCTCCGCAAAGGTGAGAAAACACGAGGGTGAAAGTCAGCTGGGTCCTTCATCTCTGCCTGGATCTTGGCCTGGGCTCACGGCCTGCATGGGGCTGACGGTCACCTCACCCTCCCACACTCCTACCCCCACCCCCACCCCCTCCAACACTCCCATACCGCCTTCCCCGCCCCGCCCCAGGATTCTGGGACGCCACTGCGTTCTCTGTACCTCCCCGCCACAGTCGGGACAACACAGCAGCAGCTCCGCGGTCACCATGGAGACCCATCTGGTGTAGCCTCTGTAGCCCCCCAGCGGACACTTATGGAACCTGCAGTTCTTTTCTTTCCCTCGGGCGGTGTATTTCGCGAGCAGCTCTGTCCAGAGACCCCGGCTCTCTTACCCGGTCCCTGTATTGCTTCTCACTATCCTGAACCTGGCCACCCGCCCCACCACTCCAGCCATTTCAGTTTCTCCGCCTGGGGCCAGGCTTCTCCGGCTTTGTCACTCAGGCACAACAGCTCTAACTGCCCATCCCTTCCAGCCAGGGTTCCTGGGGACTTCAGAAGGGCTGTCACCCAGGGCACTTCCAAAGTCCCTCTCTAGAGTGTAAAAGTTTGGCTGGGCATGGTGGCTCACGTCTATAATCCCAGCACTTTGGGAGGCTGAGGTGAGTGAATCATCTGAGGCTGATGGATGGGCCCCAGGAGTACCCTAGCATCCTGTCAGGAGACCAGCCTGGCCAACATGGTGAAACCCTATCTCTACTAAAAATGCAAAAATTAGCTGGATATGGTGGTGGGTGCCTGTAATCTAATCCCAGCTACTCGGAAGGCTGAGGCAGGAGAATCGCTTGAACCCGGGAGGCAGAGGTTCATGCCACTGCACTTCAGCCTGGGTGACAGAGAGACTCTGTCTAAAAAAAAAAAAAAAATTCGGAATTTAAATGGATTAAATGCCCCAATCAAAGACACAGACACGCAAACTGAATAAAAAGTCAAAACACATCGGCACTCTGTATCCAGATCCATCTCATAAGCAAGGACACATAAAGACTCAAAACAAAAGGTTGGAGGAAGACTCACCAATCAAATGGAGAGAAAGCAAACAAACAAAAACAGAAGTTGTAACTTTCACCCCTGACAAAATAGACTACAATAGTAACAAAGACTAAAAGAAACAAAGAAGGACATTACATAATGAGAAAAGGATCAATGCAACAATAGGAGTCAATGATCATAAATATATATGCACCCAATATAGGGGCACCCAGATACATAAGACAAGTTTTCAATGACTTATAAAGAGACTTGGACTCCCACACTAATAGCGGGAGACTTTGACACCACATTGTTAATATTCGACGGATCAACGAGATAGAAAATTAACAGGGACATTTATGATTTGAACTCAGACCTGGAACAAGTAAACTCAGTGAATATTTATAGAATTCTTCACCCCAGGTCCACAGAACATACATTTTTTTTAGTATCACATTACACCTACTTTGAAAGTGACCACATAAATGGAAGCAAATCACTCTTCAGCACTTGCACAGCATTTCACAGATTTAAACGAAATATTGGTTGGCTGTTTGTTTGTTATTTTCTTTCCTTATTCCTTCCTGTCTCTGCTGTTAAGCACAATTATCAGCATAAAAGAGGTTTTTAATACTTATTTTTAGATTGTATTCCAGCCTGGGCAATAGAGCAAGACTCCTGTTCTCTCTCCCCCTTTTCTCTTTCTCTTTCTTTCTTTCTATAAAAAAAAAAGAAGAAGAAGAAGAGAGAGTGCAAATTTGTTTTTTCTTTTATTTATTTATTTATTTTCTGAGACAGAGTTTGGCTCTGCCACCCAGGCTGAAGTACAGTGGCACAATCTCAGCTCACTGAAACCTCCGCCTCCCAGGTTCAAGTGATTTTTTTGCCTCAGCCTCTGGAGTAGCTGGGCTGCAGGGGTGCACCACCAGGCCTGGATAATTTTTGTAGTTTTAGTAGAGATGGAATTTAATCATGTTGGCCAGGCTAATCTCGAACTCCTGACCTCAGGTGATCCCGTGCCTTGGGATTACAGGTGTGAGCCACTGCTCCTGGCCATGAGTGCAAAAATCTTATGTGATGCGGAATAAAATATCCTTCCCTCGGCCAACCCGCCCCACCCACCCCACACTTAGCAACCCTTGATTCAGAGTCTAGCTTTGGGAGCCACTTTTCCCTACCGACCTTGTGCATCTGTGCAATGGAATCCCATAGGCAGCGCAGCCTGGCTGGAATCCAGGGAGCCACTAGTGTGTGGGGTGGGGCAGCATCAGCAGAACTGGGCATGCAGCCTCAGTTGAGAGACAGGCAAGCATACAGACAAGCCAACCCAAAAGGGGACTGGAGATGGGCAGTCACAAGGTTGGTGGTGCAGTGTGCTGGGAGCACCACATGGGAGAAGGAGGATGGGACCAATTGCAGCCTGAGCTGGGCAGAAAGGCTTCCTGGAGGAAGTGGTGCTAGAGTCTTGAAGGATGAGAAGGCACTGGGCTGGGCTGGGCTGGGGTAGAGATCTCAGTGATGGCATGAGGGGTGGGGGAGGACTTCTTTTCAGAGTCTGCCTTCCTGAGTGTCACTCCTCTTCAGGACCCCTCTTTGCCTTTTTGCTCTTCTCACCCTGTCCCCATTCCCCAGCCAATCTTCCCCAGCCCAACAAATGTAACCAGCATCCCCTTGTCACACATGATCCTTTTCTCCTTGTCACATGCAGTTCCTGGATGTGCTCTGGACTTACCTGCCTTCCTGGTGAGCTTATTCATCCTTCAAGACCCAGCTAGAAGACCAAGCATGGTTGCTCACGCCTATAATCCCAGCACTTTGGGAAGCTGAGGTGGGTGGATCATTTGAGGTCAGGAGTTTGAGACCAGCCTGGGCAACATGGTGAAACCCTGTCTCTACCAAAAATACAAAAATTAGCTGGGAGTGGTGGCAGGCGCCTATAATTTCAGTTACTTGGGAATCAGAGGCAACAGAATCACTTGAACTTGAACTCAGGAGACTGAGGTTGCAGCGATCGAGATTGCACCACAGCACTCCTGCCTGGACGACATAGCGAGACTCCATCTCAAAAAGAAAAAGGCCCGGATAGATGTTCACCCTTTCTGTCACCTTCCCCAAACCACCCTTTCAATCCTGTATTTATTCTACAAACTTACTGAATACTGAGTATACTGGGCCCAAGGATGTGGCCTAACATTGCAACTTTTTTTTTTTTGAGACAGGGCCTTACTCTGTTGCTCAGGCTGTGGTGCAGTGGTGAAATCTCTGCAGCCTTGAATTCCTGGGCTCAAGCAGTCCTCCTGCCTCAGCCTTCAAGTAGCTAGGACTACAGGTCTGTCCCACCACGCCTGGTTAATTTTTGTATTTTTTGTAGAGATGGGATCTTGCTTATTGCTCAGGTTGGTCTTGAACTGGCCTCATGGTATCCTCTCACATTGGTCTCCCAAAGTATTGGGATTACAGGTGTAGGCCACTGCACCCAGCCCCTACATTGCAACTTTCTGTTCACTTGTCAGTCTTCCCAACTGGCCAGGATTTCCTGTGAGCTGGCAGAAGCTGAGTTACATATTTTATTAATCCTGAGCCTTTAACATTCACACCCTGAATGAATGAGTTAATGAATGAATGAATATAAGTACAGCTTCTCCTTCCAAAAATCAAACAAGAAACACCTCAGTTCACAGGGCTGGCACTATCTGATTTCCAGTTCTGTCCCTTGTCACTGTCTCAAAGGTATTTGGTCATATGTTATTAAATTAAAGTGAATTAAAATTTGCTTGAAATAACTACAGCCTTCCCTGATCTCCTGGGCCTGCAATGACCAGATTACATCTCCTCCAGGCACAGAAGTTTGACATTTCATTGCAAAGTCATTTTCTTCTCATTTCCTTATGTTGCTAAAATATTCTATTTCTCTTCACTTCCCTTTTGTGTCCCCATTACTCACGTTTAGTTAAATTTATCTGCTGCCATTTAATCATCTGAGATAAGCTTGCTGGTGTGGCTGTTCCTAGGGCACTGGCCTCGCCTTCCCAGACCATCTGTCTCCTCCTAGGCCACTAGGAGAACGGATCCAGACCCCTCCCCCAGGGGTCAGGGTGTCTGGGCTACCTTCAGATCCCAGGTTTCTCCCTAAGGCAACTGACTTCAGGGACCTTCCTGCCCCAACCCACCCACTGCCTTCCTCTCCAACCTTCTCCTACTCTGTTTCCTGGGTATGGTTTTCATTTTGCCTCCTGATCTGACACTTCTGTAGCCCCTTTGGTCACATTTAGCAAGTGGCCTCATAATTCCTCTCTCAGTGGGATTGATGAGTAAATCTTTAAAGGGACAAAATATCTAGCAGGGTAGCCAGTGTAGGAATTGTTCGGTGCCTGCTTGGGACACTGCCACACCTGCCGCATTCCCAGGGCTGGCTGGGGTACCCTTCTCCCCTCTGCTCACCCCCCATTCTCACAATGTAGCCAGGGGATCATTAGTCTCCCTGGAGATAGTTGGAGGAGATCAGAAAGGCACATTCTGGCCGGCTGTGATGGCTCACACCTGCAATCTCAGCACTTTGGGAGGCCGAGGCAGGTGGATCACCTGAGGTCAGGAGTTTGAGACCACCATGGCCAACATGGTGAAACTCCATCTCTACTAAAAATACAAAAAATTAGCCAGGCATAATGGTGGATGCCTGATCCCAGATACTCAGGAGGCTGAGGCAGGAGAATCGCTTGAATCTGGGTGGAGGAGGTTACAGTGAGCCGAGATGGTGTCATTGCTCTCCAGCCTGGGTAACAAGACTGAGACTTTGTCTCAGAAAAAAAGAAAAAGAGAGAGAAAGAAAGGAAGGAAGGTACATTTTGGCATGGAGTGGAATCCGAGCTTTTTGAGTTTTTTTTGAATCCCAGTCTCACTTCTCATAACTGTGTCAGAGGGCAGGGAGAGTCAAGGCCCAGTGGCCACAGAACCTCTGCCTGGGTCCTAGGAGGCAAGATCAGAAGCCGGGTTAGCTGCATTTACTGGGCATCTGCAGTGTGCTGGGTTCTGCAGGCATATTGGGAGAGCTGGTGCTGTCAATCTCTCCTCCCCAGGGTGGTAGTGAGAGATACTCATCCCTCATCTCAATCTTAGAGCCAAGAGCTTCTGTGGAACCACTTGGAAAGCTCAATCCATGTCTTTAGAGCTTCATGGACACAGTGAACTGGAGTGACTCATGCCAGAGGAATCTCAGTGGCGGGAGATGGGGGCCAGATGACTTGGCAGTGCAACAAGGAGGGGAGCGCGCATTGGGATCTGCCCGCATGCCAGGAGGTCACGAGGGCAGAGGATGAGAGGTGAAATTTTCTAGTGGATGAGAGGTGGCCGCTGTCATAGGAGAGCAACATGGAGTTGTCTCAGAGACTGATCAAGAAAGCCTCCTGGCCAGGCATCGTGGCTCACGCCTTTCATATCAGAACTTTGAGGGGCTGAGGAGGCAGATCACTTGAGGTCAGGAGCTTGAAACCAGCCTGGCCAACATGGTGAAACCCTGTCTCTACTAAAAATACAAAATTTAGCTAGGCATGGTGGTGGGCACCTGTAACCCCAGCTACCAGGGAGGCTGAGGCAGGAGAATCACTTGAACCCAGAGGCAGAGGTTGCAGTGAGCCGAGGCTGTGCCATGGCTCCAGCCTGGGCAATAGAGCAAGAGTCTGTCTCAAAAAACAAAAGCGTCCTGAGAGGAGCAAAAAGATGCCAGCAGAAAGAAGCCAAAAGTTATTCCTGGGCCAAGGGGTGAAGAAGGGGTTGTCAGGGGCTTAGCCTAAATTTCATTGAGGGACAAAGGGAAAAGTAACTCCATGGGAAAAGGGAGACAAATAGAAATTGTTTTAAAGTTACATTTTATGAGTCGTATTTTAGGACTACACATATATTATCTCTTTTAACTTCTTTTTTTTTTTCTAGTTAGGATCATTTAATTTCTTTATTTAAATAAATGTGCTTTATTCTCTTGTTTGTTTGTTTTTGAGACACGGCCTCACTCTGTTGCCCAGGCTGAGTGAAGTGGCATGATCACAGATCACTGCAACCTCAACCTCCTAGGCTCAAGGGATCTTCCCACCTCCGCCTCTTGAGAAGCTGGGACTACCAGGGGGCACCACCATGCCCAGCTAATTTTTTTTTTTTAAGAGATGGGGGTCTCCCTCTGTCACCCAGGCTGGAGTGCAGTGGTGCAATCATAGTTCACTGTAGCCTCAAACTCCTGGCTCAGCTGATCCTCCTGCCTCAGCCTCTTGAGTAGATGGGTGTGCAACACCACACCTGGCTAATTTCTTAAAAAGTTTTTTTTGTAGAGATGGGATCTCGCTATGTTACCTGGTCTGGTCTTGAACAACTGGTCTCATGTGATCCTCCAACCTCCGCCTCCCAAAGTGTAGGGATTACAAGTGTGAGCCACTGTAACTGGCCTGAAATGTACTTTATTCTTGTGTCAATTCAAAACACATGCATCTTTCTGGAACAAGATCACATCTCCAGTCTACCTTCATCTATATTTTCTATGATCTCCAACTGCGTCTAGGTCGAACAATCTATTATCTTTATTATTTTCTGGTTTACCCTCTCAAACTCTTATTTCATTTAATTTTCACAACAACCCTGAGAGAAAAGGGCTCTTGTTCTCCATGTTCTATGCCGAGGTTCAGCAATTAAGAAATGAGTCCAAGGATGGGTCCAAGGAGTAAGTGACAGAGTCAAGGTTGATTAGAAAAGTCAGGCCTGGGGTTTGGGTTTGGGCACAGGCAGTGGTGGTGCCAATAGAGGGTGTCAAGTGGCTTTAGCAGCAGGCTTCAGCAGTTGCTATGGACTGAATGTTTATGTCCCTCCATATTATGTATGAAAAGAGTTCCTCTTAAAGGGTTAATTTGCTCAGCGTCTTGGCTCTTTGCTCCCAGCTTTCAAGGCCAGACTTCCTTACTCTCTGTATCCCCTGCCCTGGTAAACAAACTTCCTGCCAGTCCTTATCTATGGAGATCACATTCCACATCTGTCACTCACTCTATAGATTACCCTTTCCATCGCAACAAAACTGCACTCTCTGTGGGTACAACAGAATTCCTGAAATTTCAATTTAGCCAACCAGGTTCAGCTTAGATTGCTCAGTCCAACTCCAGCCAATGGATACATGACATAGTAGCAGGGGCAAGCTGCGTTAGAAATAAAAACTCCTTCCCTCCTTTGTTCAAGGTGCTATTGCCATTGCTCCATTGAGAGCAGCACCCTTTCTGCAGAAAGTAAATTTGCCTTGCTGAGAGATCCTTTGTCTCAGTGCTGATTCTTCTTTGTTGCACCAAGCATTTGTTCCCAACTCCACAATTCACCAGTGTGATTGTATTAGGAGGTGGGCATCTTTGGGAGGTGATTAGGTCATAGGGGTGAAGCTCTCATGCTGGGGATTAGTGCTGTTATAAAAAAGGTCACAGAGAGCTAGCTTGCCCCTTCACCACATGAGGACACAATGAGAAGGTGCCATCTATGAACTGGAAAGCAGACCCTCACCAGACACTGACTGCTGATACCATGATTGTGGACTTCCTAGCCTTCAGAACTGTAAGAAATCAATTTTTGTTGCATTTAAGCTTCCCAGTTTATGGTATTTTGTTATAGCAATCCAAATGGACTAAGACAGCAGTCCCCCTCAGATTATCTCAGTCACATCTCCATTCTTAAGTATAGGCAGTTGCTTAGATGCCCTCTGGGAGATTCTGGATGGGGTCTTTTGATAGATGCTTCTAGAACAGTGGCACTATGGCAACCAGGACTTCGACAAGGATGCATTAATCTCTCTCTCTCTCTCTCCTTCTCTCTCTCTCTCTCTCTCTCTGTGGGTTGTTACTTGTTTTAGAGGGAGTCTCGCTCTGTTGCCCAAAGGCTAGAGTACAATGGTACAATCTTGGCTCACTGCAGCCTCCATATCCCAGGTTCAAGAGATTCTCCTGCCTCAGCCTCCTGAGTAGCTGGGACTACAGTCATGTGCCACCATGCCAGGCTAATTTTTACATTTTTAGTAGAGACAGGGTTTCATCATGTTGGCCAGGCTGGTCTCAAACTCCTGACCTCAGGTAATCCACCCACCTTGGCCTCCCAAAGTACTGGGATTATAGGGGTGAGCCACCAGGTCTGGCCTACTCTCTCTCTTTTTGAGAAGATTTCTCACTATGTTGCCCAGGTTGCTCTCAAACTCTTAGGCTCAATTTATTCTCTTACCTCGGCCTCCTGGGTTATCTGGGACTACAGGCATGCACCACTCCCAGCTACTCTGTCTCTTGAAGACCCCATGAACACTGGGCCAAGTGTCATCACCAAAATTGATAAACCCAGAGCCTTGTTTGAATGAGCTCAAGTTGTGCGGGGACTAAGAACCAAGAGTCTATCTGTAGGGAAGAGGGTGTCCAGGGCCAGGAGACAAGTGAGCAGCTCGAGGCCCAGTGCCAGAGGGATGCTACCTGCAACTGGACGGTTCCCAGGAGCTCTGGCAAGGCTCTTACCTCTGGTTCCCTCCCAGAGATTTCCCAGGGTCTCTGCAGGGACACCCTTCCCTTTGCAAACTTGGCTGTGGATGGTTCTGGTTTCACATCAACACATCCCTGACCAAGACAGAAATTCTAAAAACCTAGATTTCATGAAAAATTTAAAATTTCTTGTATGAACTGGATCCTTCCTATTTTAATGCCACTTATTAAGGGTACTGTACCTTCAAGCATGCAACAGGCCCCCAAGAAGCCCATAGGCCCTGGCTTGTGTCCCCAGCCTCCTTCCTGACATTTCATTCCCTTAGAATAGATAGATGAAAATGGGCAGGCCAGCCTAGTAGCACCTATCTAGTGTAGTCACATGGCTGTTATTTGCAGTAGGGATGCACTGAAGTCCCATGGGATTTTCTGAGCCCAGCCACATGTGCCTGGAGGTCAGAAGAGATGTCTGCCAGTGGCTTAGTTGCAGCTGATATTGGACTATTTGACATTAAACTATTTCTTTTTTTCTTTCTTCTTCTTCTTCTTTTTTTTTTTTGAGACAGAGTCTTGCTTTGTCACCCAGACTGGAGTGCAGTGGTGTAATCTCGGCTCACTGCAACCTCTGCCTCCCAGGTTCAGTGCCCCAGCCTCCCAAGTAGCAGGGATTATGGGCACAAGCCACCATGTCTGGCTAATTTTTGTATTTTTAGTAGAGACGGGGTTTCGCCATGTTGGCTAGGCTAGTCTCGAACTCCTGACCTCAAGTGATCTGCCCGCCTCAGCCTCCCAAAGTGCTGTGATTACAGGCATGAGCCACTGTGCCCGGCTGACATTGGACTATTTCTGAAGGAAGAGTCTTGCATTTTGCCCTTTAACAAGACTTCATAGGTGATTTAATGTGACTCCAATAGAGGCCACATCTAGGGTGCCCAATGGGTGTTATTTTTTGAAGCTCCTCTTTCATTTTTTCCAGTGAATGAGTTTCAGCAGGTATTGAGAAGTCCGAGGAGGCAGTGGGTGAGCTGCCATGAGACAGTGAATGTCTGGTGTCTAATTTGATTTGACTTGTTTTTGTGGCCATGAGAACTTGGAGCCAGGAATAAAAAGCACAAGCAGCAGAGATGACAGCTCCCTGCCACATGTCCTGCCTCGCTCCACCCCAAGGGTTCACTCTATAGCCACAGAGAGATGAGAAAGGAGTGTGTCAAATAATTCATGTCAGGCACACATGGTGTGAGAGATTGTTTTTAATTTTTTTATTTGAGATGGAGTCTCACTCTATTGCCCAGACTCTATTGATCATGCAGTGGTGTGATCTTGGCTCACTGTAACCTCTGCCACCTGGGTTTAAGTGATTCTCCTGCCTTAGCCTTCCAAGTAGCTGGAATTACAGGCACCTGCCACCGCGCCCAGCTAATTTTTGTGTTTTTAGTAGAGATTGGGTTTCACCATCTTGGCCAGGCTGGTCTTGAACTCCTGACCTTGTAATCCACTGCCTCAGCCTCCTAAAGGGCTGGGATTACAGGCGTGAGCCACCGCACCTGGCCTTGTTTTTTTTTCTTTGTGAGACAGAGTCTTACTCTGTCACACAGGCTGAAGTGCAGTGGTGCGATCTTGGCAAGCTCCACCTCGAATGTTCAAGCAATTCTCCAGCCTCAGCCTCCCTCATACCTGAGATTATAGGCTCATACCACCACGCCCGGCTAATTTTTGTGCTTTTAGTAGAGACAGTGTTCCACCATATTGGTCAGGCTTATCTCGAACTCTTGACCTCAGGCGATCCACCCGCCTTAGCCTCTCAAAGTGCTGGGATTACAGGCGCGAGCCACTGCGTCCAGCTTGTTTTTGATTATTTTTGAAAAGCCTCAAAAAACCTCTTCCCCAAACTAGCCACCATCAGGCAAGAGGGTGATTTATTAAGCATGAGCTGGACTGGTTTAACTCTCCTGGTTGGCTAAAATTGCCCAGAAAAATAAAGTAATTTGTGGTTGTCAGATTCCAAATTAAATGATTCAAATACTACTGCAGCTGATTAAAAGGCTTTATTCAATTTCCTCCTGACCACATGCTCTCCTGTGAGACCAGGAGATACTGTTTCTAGAAGAAATGCACTATTTGGAGCCCATTGATCTAATCTAATGGATGGTGTTTATTAAGTATGCTCTCCCTACTTTTTTTCTAAATGAAAGGTGAGACTAAAGAAGGAGGAAGAGATGATTTCCTGTTTGTTTAACTATGAATGATTCTCTCTTTCCAGGTTTCTGGGTAGCCAGCCTCCTACTGTGAACAAGGGTGGGTACCTAAAATATTTTTAAGTACCCTTAAAAGACCTCTAAGCAACCATAACAAAGGTCAACAAATGAAAGGCAAGTATGAATAAACAGGAACAAGAGTCTGAAGATTGCAGTGGACTGTCTACTGGTGCAGTGCATCACCCACAGTACCCACTGGGACAGTCTTGAGCCGGCCACCTTAGTGCCTTCCCTTCTCGGCCTTGCTGATAGACCCTGAGGGAACCAGGACCCAAGGCAGCCAATCTAGAGATGTATCATGTGCCTTGGCAGAAAAATAGATGGGCTGGCTTAGGAACATGAAAGAGGAACTCCCGCAATTAGGAGACAAGCAGCTGGTGCAGGAATTGAAAGAAGAGAGCTCAGAGAGTGACCACGTGATTCTGGGAGCGTGCTTGAGTAACCAGCCGGCCTCCAGAGTGAGCCTCACTCTCTACTGCCTCTAGTCCAGGCTCTGGGCCAGTTTGTTGCACTCATCTTGAAAACAAGCTCAGCCCTTCTTTTTTTAAAAAAATGTTTTTGAGACAGGGTCTTGCTCTGTCACTCAGGCTGGAGTGCAGTGGTGCTAACACAGCTCACTGCAGCCTCAACTTCCTGGGTTCAAGCGATCCTCCCACCTCAGCTTCCCAAGTAGCTGGGACCACAGGCACATACCAACATGTACAGCTGATTTTTATTTGCTTATTTGAAATTTTATTTTATGTTTTTTCTGAGATAGGATCACACTCTGTCACCCAGGCTGGAGTGTAGTGGCGCCATCTCTGCTCACTGCAACCTCTGCCTGACAGAATCAAGCAATTATCGTGCCTCCTGGGTGAGTAACTGGGACTTCAGCTGCTCATGACCGAGCCTGGCTAATGTCTGTATTTGTAGTAGAGATGAAGTTTTGCCAAATTGGCCAAGCTAATCTCAACTCTTGGTCTCAAGTAATCCTCCCACCTCGGCCTCCCAAAGTGCTGGGATTACAGGTGTGAGCCACCACTCCCAGCCTGTAGCCCTTCTTAAGGTGGCCTAAGCAGGACTCAAAAGAGCCCAGCTGAACCCGGGAGAACCCGGGAATCAACAGAAGATTTTCAGCAGGAACTACAGAGCAGTTCACCACCATATGAAACACAAGTGGCTTTTAGCAAGTGAGTTGTATAATCCACAAGGGAAATGACGAGGCCAGACCAGTGGGGCAGAAAATGGCCCTTTGGCCAAAGCAAGGAGAAGGGTGGCAGGCACTGGGGGAGGATGGGGCTCACCTCCCTGGGGTGACCTCCCGCTAACCTCACCTCTACGCTTCTGTCTCTGGAGGAACGGATGCTACAGCCTGGCCCTCATACCCCAGGCCAACAGACAAGGGGGCTCACAGAAGGGAAGCTTGCTTCAAACTCCAAGTACCTCCAAGGTCTGGTAAGACAGCACGACCCTGGACCTTGGAAGGGAGCACAGATGGAAACACACCCAGGCTCAGGCTTGGCCCATCAATAGGTGCAGAATCCTCCATCTTGGGTTCCCTCCGTTTATTGAATGAATTGTTTCCATTTACACTTTGGTTTTTAGCCAGAGTACGTTTTTCATTATGTTAAGAATTGGTCTCATGTAGTGAGTAAGGTCATAGAACTTGGTGTCAGGCTGTTGGTTGGGCTTCTGGCCCTGCTACTTACTGTGTGGCCTTGACCTAATCACTTAGCCTCTCTGTGCCTCAGTTCACTCAGCTGTAGAATAGGAATAATCTGCCCCTCTCTAGTAGCATTGTTTATGAGATTAAAGGAACTGTCTGTCCTGAGCCAGGGCTTGCAACAGATCCTGTCTATGTCAATATGAGCTTGACGTTTTATTAAACACTTTCGTTTCTTTTTCTTTTTACTTTTCCTTTTTTTTTTGAGACAGTTTTGCTCTTGTCACCCAGGCCAGAGTGCAATGGCGACATCTCAGCTCACTGCAACCTCTGCCTCTTGGGTTCAAGCGATTTTCCTGCCTCAGCCTCCCGAGTAGCTGGGATTACAGGCGCCCGCCACCATGCCCAGCTAATTTTTGTATTTTTAGTACAGACGGGCTTTCACCATGATTCCAGGCTGGTCTCAAACTCCTGACCTCAGGTGATCCGCCCACCTCGGCCTCCCAAAGTGCTGGGATTACAGGAGTGAGCCACCGCCCCTGGCCCTGGTGTTTCATTTCAAATGCTTCTGTCCCTCCCCTTTGACGGTTTTTTTGGGAGGTGTGTTTTTCAGTTGACCAGCTGGAGTTCTTAGTAACACCAGCGCCCTCCTCGGTCTGCGCTGCGCGGCCGAGGCCCGTACAACCTCCAGGGGGCGCCCGGGGCCCGCGCTCCCTCGACGCGGCGGCCCGTGGCGTCCGGGCGGGAGAACTTCGAATCTGAGTGGTCCACCTGGATTCATCTTCTTGGTTCCCGAGCCTCCTCCCTCTCCCCTACCAAAGGACAGTGAACTGGAGCGGCGCTCGGCACCGGCGGCTGGACACGTGGCGCAGCCTTCGTGACAGGTCTTTTTTCGTCCCACGTTTGTATGGGACCTTGGGCTTCCAAACCGACGTTGGGTGATTTATCAGCAGATACTTTCACCGCCCACCGCAAACCTGCAGTGCCAAGTGGGCCGCTTTCCGGAGGGTCTCGGAGGACACCGCCTGCCAGCTGCCAGCATCTGGGGGGAGAGGGATGGGTGTTTGGGGTGGGAAATGAAGTTCTGGTTTTGAACGTTGACTCGTCTACACTGGTGTCTCACTGTGACCTAGGAACTGGAGATGGAGGCTAGGGCTGGGAGTTGGGGAGCCAGAGACTGTAGGGCAGGGGTTCCCACGAGGATCGGTTGGTGGGGTCACCAGGCAGCAGATCCCCACCAGGCAGAGCCCTTAGACAACAGCATCATGGGTGACAGATGGATGGAGACCATGGGGTTCAGGAGCCTGACAGGGAGGCAAAGGGATGGCCACAGAGTCCAGCCAGAAATGGACAAAAAAATCCTTGGGGCTGCAGACCAGAGGCCTCTTGTAGTGGCCAAAGGTGAGGGAGACACAGGGTGCTAGGTGTGCAGAGGTATCATCCTAAAGGCCAAGACTGTACAGGGCTGGACATGGCAACTTGGATGTGGCAGGGAATGGAGAGCGACCAAGGAAGCTGGTGACATGGACAGTGACATTGGTCATTCTTACCCATCACAGTTACCCAAGATGAAGGCAAGTCCTTGAGTTGGGAAAGGGTCTGGGTGTGTGCCTGTAATCCCAGTGCTTTGGGGGGCTAAGGTGGGAGGATTACTGGAGGCCAGGAGTTCAAGGCTGCAGTAAGCCATGATCATGCCACTGGGCCCCAGCCTGAGTCACAGAGTGAGACTCTGTCTCTTAAAACAAAAAAGCAGTGGGGAGGGGTGGCGGGGAAGACTGGGCACAGTGGCTCACGCCTGTAATCCCAACACTTTGGGAGGCCGAAGCTGGCAGATGGCTGGAGCCCAGGAGTCCAAGACTAGCCTGGGCAATGCAGTGAGACTCCATCTCTACAAAAAATGAGCCGGGTGTGAAGCAACATGGTGCACACCTGTGGTCCCATCTACTTGGGAAGCTGAGGTAGGAGGATGGTTCAAGCCTGGGAAGCAGAGGTTGCAGTGAGCCAAGATTGTGCCACTGCACTCCAGTCTGGGAAAAAGGTGGGGAGAGAAAAGGTGAGCTAAGCCCCAGAGCAAGGGCTGGGAAGAGAGAACAGCAAACAGGAGTCTCAAAAACTGGGGCAGCAGGGAGGGGGTGAGAGGGGGCTGGGATTGTTCAAAGGCACCCATTGAGGAATGGTTTCCAGGGATATTGAGGGGTCTGGAGAAGGGACAGCAACTCCCAGGGGATGTGGGGAAGCTGTGGCCAGCAGGGGACACCTGCAAAGCAGGAGATGAAAAGAGAGGCTGTGTCTGTAACAGATGGTCCCTGCTTTCCAGGGTATGGAGGACAGCACATGGGGAGTGGGTGAGAAGATAGACTTCAGTGGGTGGGAGGACAAGATGGGGTGACCAAGAGTGTGAGGGTGGGAGTCTGGACAGGACCCTGGGCTCCCCACATGGGACTCTGGACAGAACCAGGGCAGCAGAGCCTCCACTCACAGACCAGACACCAGCTTCTGCTTGGAAAGACCCATCTCCTATTAAGAACCCCATGGCACAGTGGCTCATGCCTTAATCCCAGAACTTTGGGAGGCAGAGGCAGGTGGATCACCTGAGGTCAGGAGTTCGAGACCAGCCTGGCTAACATGGCAAACTCCTCCGTCTCTACTAAAAATACAAAAATTAGCCAGGCGTGGTTACGGGCACCTGTAATCCCAACTATGCAAGAGGCTGAGGCAGAAGAATCGCTTGAACTCAGGAGGTGGAGGTTACAGTGAGCCAAGATCGCACTTTCGTACTCCAGCCTGTTCGACAAGAGCAAAAATCCATCTCAAAAAAAAAAAACCTCCTGCACTGTGACAGGTCCCTAGGGAGTGAGTCATGGGCTGTTACTGCACCCCAAGGGGCCCCACATGTGAAAATGCCTCCTGAAGCACTGAGTGTTTGTAAAGGCCTACTGCTGGGCATGTCGCCCGGTTAGAGGAAACATTTTATCACATCGGAGGCACAAGTAGGTTGTTTCGTGGTAATTGCTTTCCTAAACCATAAAGAAAATGCATCACAATGAACCCAGCACAATTAACTAAAGTGGTCACATTCCTCCTCTTTGATTTAAAACTATTTAGAAATATTAGCAACTGACTTTGCTTCCAGGTTGTTGGTGCTTTTTTTTTTTTTTTTTCTCAACTGCAGCTTTATCTTTTGAATCCCATAACATATCCTGAGTACACCAGGAGGGAGGAATGAAAAGATGTTTGTGTTTCCAGCTCTGCAGCCAACTGCTACACAAACAATACCCTCAATATGTAACCTGGGAGTTTAATATTCTCAAATATTTATAATTATGCAGAAATAGCCCTAAGAAATGTTCATCTTCCTCACAGCTGGATAATTATCTGCATTCAATGTTCACAACCTCGGAGCTGCTTCTCAGAGTTTGGGGTGCCTCTCTGCTACTTGGGCATGCAGAGTACATGGGTTCTGTGCACAGATTCCTAAGGGGGCATAGAGGTGGCATGGGGAGATACTGGCGTGCTCTCTCTCTCAACAGAGTCCTGCTCTGTGATGCAGGCTGGAGTACAGCGGCATGATCATTGCTCACTGTAGCCTTGAACTCCTGGGCTTAAGCGATCCCCCCACCTCAACCTCCGGAGTAGCTGGGACCACAGACGCATGCCACCACACCTGGCTATTTTCTTCTAAAATTTCCATAGGTTTTTGGGGAACAAATGGTGTTGGTTATGGGATGAGTTCTTTAGTGGTGATTTCTGAGATTTTGATGAACCCATCACCCAAGCAGTCTACACTGTACCCAATGTGTAGTCTTTTATCCCTCACCCCCCTCCTACTCATTTTTTTCTGACTAATTAAAAAAAATTTTTTTGTGTGTGTGGAGACTGGATCTCACTTTGTTGCCTAGGCTAGTATTGAACTCCTGGCCTCAAGTGATCCTCCCACTTCTGTCTCCTTAAGTGCTAGGATTACAGAGTGAAGAAAGGCTCAATCATTCCCCACAAATCCTGTAGTGGACCCGTGGATAAAGTCCCACATTGAGTACCTGCAGAAGTGTCTCATGGAGTCCCAGGTGCTCCCTACAAAAGGATGCTGTGGTTAAAGCAGCCCTGCCTCTGTCTGCCTTTGCAGAGACACCATACATGCCTCTATTCATACATTTTCTCCTTGCCTGTCATCTCTCCCGCTGTTCCCTCTGTTCCACGCATATTTCCAGAAGAATATCAAGAAAACTATTTTTCCTGCATAATTACCCACCTCCTCTCCGCCCACCTCCACACATCTTTTCTGCTTTGACGTGGTAGCTGCTCTGATTTCTTTAAGTGGACTGCATTCTGCATTTACCAGGCAGGTGGAATTCTATGAAGGGAGCCTCCAGCTGCACTGGGAGCGAGGGCTCTGGACATGATCGTCCCTCTCTGCTCCAGACCTGCTGCACCTCTGCCTGCGTTTAGATCCCCCTTCCCACAGCCCCTGGGCACAAGGATATTGGTTCCTGAATGGAGGTCACCAATCAACTGCGTGGTCCTCCTTCTTCCAAGCCCGAGTTGCCTCAGTCCTGACCCTGTGATCTGAAAGGAAATTCCTCTTTAGTGAGATCAGCTAGCATCGTCTCAGTTGCAGCTTACAGAACACTAGACCCAAAATAGCACAAGCTAAAGGAAATGGGGTATCCCATGGAACCAAAGAGTCTTGACGCCCCAGCTGAGGTTCAGGCAGGGCACTGTTGGTGCTGCTCCGGAATTCTTTCCACCTGCCTGCCTTGGGCTATGGGCTTTATCCCCAGGCCTGCCGTGCCCAACACAGCAAAGGGGTCAAAGGTGCTCCAAACCCTGGTTCACCCTCTGACTGCCCAGAAGAGCCAGGAGTTCCTTCTCCAGGTGGATTCTACAAATGATCAAGAAAGCATCTTCCCTTGCTGGGTCTGATGGCTCACGCCTGTAATCCCAGCACTTTGAGAGGCTGAGGCTGGTGCATCGCTTAAGGTCAGGAGTTTGAGACCAGCCTGGCTAACATAGCAAAATCCCTTCTCTATTAAACATACACAAATTAGCTGGACGTGGTGGCGGGCTCCTATAATCCCAGATACTTGGGAGTCTGAGGCAGGAGAATTGCTTGAACCTGGGAGGCGGAAATTGCAGTGAGCCGAGATCGTGCCACTGCACTGCATCCTGGGCAACAGAGTGAGACTCTGTCTCTAAATAAATAAATAAATAAATAAGAAAGCATCTTCCCAGGTGCCCATCAAAAGTCCTGTGAGTCTGATTGGTCTCAATTGGATCTGCCGCCCGTCCCTTAGTCAACCACAGTGGCCAGGTGGCTGGGACATGCTGATGAGTGTCAGTCTATCAAGGCCTATCTCTGCTGCTGGGAGAGGGGGGAGAAGTCCCTGAGCTGCATGGGGGAAGGACAGACACCCAAATCAAATGTGGAAGACTGGACCAATGGAAGTGGGAATGGACAGCAGAAGATCCCGGAAGTGAATGTTCACGTCCCTGGGTAACTTACAATCGAGTCCCCTCACCTTCTCTCTCTGAGAAGCAAAGATCAACTTATCTCTCTGTGCACCTCAATAGGCAGCTTTCCAAGCAGGGTCCTTGCCTGTCTCATGGACTTGCTGTGTCCCCAGCACCAAGGACACTGACTGGCCAGTGAGTGCTCCACCAGGATGAGCAGAAGGAAGGAACCAAAGGGAGGGAGAAACAGGCATGCTTGCCCGCAGGTGGCTTTGGGGCTCTGGATAGATTGAGACAGCCCTAGGATCCATGGAGCTGGCTGGATGAGGGGTCCAGGATCCAGAGTGGCACGTATCTTCTTCCACAGGCCTCACTGTAAGGTGAACAAGAAGAAAGTCGTTACCAACAGAACTGTGGATGCCTGTCACTTAAGTGTTTCACTGCACAGGGCTGCAGGAATCATTCAGTAAGATTCTACAAGCATTCATGGGACATCTATTCATGCCAGGCCTGGGCACAGGTATTGCACAAGTGAACAAGGCACAGCTAGTCCCTGCCGGGCAGGGTCACACCTGGCAAAGTCAGATCCCCACAAAACCAGGACTAAAACAATGGGAACCCTGTCATCAGAGGTGGGAAGAGCCACCCCACTGCCCCATTGGCACCTCTGCCAGCCTTTCTCTCAGCAGCCAGAATGAGCCCCCAGGTGCCCTCACATAGCAGTGAGGTGTGCCAGACACTTTTCTTTTATACACATATGATTTATGACAAATCAATCCTAACTTGCATAAGGAGACACTAAGGTTTAGAGGGACTTTTTCCCAAATTTAAGACTCAGAAATGCCCAGATAATCTCTCCTTGATTGCTACCAAGTCTTTTTTCTTTTCTATTCTTTTTTTTTTTTTTTTTTTTAATGGAGTCTCGCTCTATTGCCCAGGTTGGAATGCAGTGGCACAGACTCGGCTCACTGCAACCTCTGCCTCACAGACTCAAGCAATTCCCTGCCTCAACCTCCTGAGTAGCTGGGATTATAGGCACCCACCAGCACACCTGGCTAATTTTTGTATTTTTATTAGAGACAGGGTTTCACCATGTTGGTCAAGCTGGTCTTGAACTCCCAACCTCAGGTGATCCACCCACCTCAGCCTCCCAAATTACTGGGATTGCAGGCGTGACCCACTGCGCCCGGCCAGTTGCCACTAAGTCTTATATCAGTCATAGTGTTCCCTTTCTTTGGTATGTCTATGATAATATGTAAATTATGAGCCCCCATGTCTAGGATAATATGTAAATTATGGGCTTCCCATTACAACAGGGCTTAGAGGGGAGAGCCTCTCCTGAATTTTCCTTTTGAGGAAGTTGGTGCCTAAGAGACAATGTTCTTCTCCCTTGAGGACTCTTCTTGGTAAGTGGAGTAAATTTTTTCTTCACTAAAAAAAAATCTATTTCTCCACATTTTTGAAAATTGGTTGAATGTTCTGCTTTAACCTCTGTGCCCAATTCCAGAGGCAGCAGTCCCCACTAGGGCCAGGCTGTGTTTAGCACTCCACGCAGGTGAACCCCCCAGCAGTGTCTGGGACATTCCGGGGGCCTTACCTGAGTGTCAGACTCTGCCATTTTTCCAGCCACCACGCTGCCTCCACTGCCTGCAACTCTGAGGTGGCTGCTCGGATCAGCATGCTCAGCCTCTCCAGCCACCACCCTGAGGCCCCTTTCTGGCTTCCAGAAGGTATTCTCTCTGCCTGGGGCTGACAGATCAGTCCTGACAGGGCTTGTTGGCAGATGCCAGGGCTTTTCAAAGTCAAAGCCCCAGAAATGGCTTGCCTTTAGCCACTGTTATGATCGCCCCTAGTTGCTGCCACCAACCCCTTCCAGCCAACAGCAGCCCGCTCTATTATCTAGGTCCCTGCTCCTTCTGCCTCTGTGTGGGCAGCTGGGTCCCCACACTAGAACCACCCAGGCAACTCCTCATAGGGTAGCCCAATTGTCTTGATTTGCCTGGGTCTGAGGGGTTTCCTGGGATGCAAGATTTTCAGTGCTAAAACTTTCAATGGGGTAATCGATCACACATCTCAGAATCCAGAGGTCTCAAACATCTGCAGAGAGAAAAGAAGTCTCTCCCTCTACCAGTATCCTCCTTCTGTCCCCAAGAGCAATCACTTCTAAGACAGTTATCTAAAGAGATTATTTGTTTCTGGGGCAACTGCCCCTCAATCATCAAATAATCTGAGAGGACTCCATGTTCCGGCATCTGGGGAACTCTGCTCTGGGCATCACCCCTCATTAGCGCTAATGTGAAACATCCCTGTTAATAGAGCCTACTGTTGGCGACTCAAGAGGCTGGTGAAGTGCCTGGGAAAGACAGGGCGAGGCAGAGCTATTACTGAGCATCTCTTATCTCCAGTGCTGTTCTAGAGGCTGCAGGTGAGAAGAGGCTGCTAACCTGTGACTCGTGTCCTCAGGACTTACTTAAAAACCCCAGTTCTTGGGAGGGAGTCCCAGTTATTTCCTACTGGGAAACCCAGCTTGACTTGAAATCTGAATGTTGGGGTAGGTCTTACAAAGGGAGTTAAAACCTAAATTCCAGGCCGGGCATGGTGGTTCACACCTGTAATCCTAGCACTTTGGGAGGCTGAGGTGGATGAATCACGAGGTCAGAAGTTCAAGACCAGCCTGCCCAAGAAGGTGAAACCTCATCTCTACTAAAAATACAAAAATTAGCCAGGCATGGTGGCAGGCACCTATAATTCCAGCTACTTGGGAGGCTGAGGCAGAAAATTGCTTAAACCCAGGAGGCAGAGGTTGCGGTGACCCAAAATTGCACCACTGCACTCCAGCCTGGGCGGCAGAGCAAGACTCTGCCTCAAAACAAAACAAAACCTAAATTCCACCCGCCCCATTGAGAAGAAGCAACCTTTGTCTCCCTTCTAGGGAAAGGCTTTCCTGTCAACAATGAGCTGTTAAGTGTGGAGAGTGGGGTGGAGACACCAGGACAGCCTGGAGAGGCCTGATCTAGGACAGAGGTGATGGAGTTGGCAAAGCGGGGGTGAACTGGTGCAAAATTAAGGAAGTGAAACTGGCAGCCCATGCTATAAACTAGTCTCAGGGCCACTTGATGCCCCAATGAGTCACTGAGGCCTGTGGGAAGAGCTGAGCACCTACTGCACACCAGACTCCATGCTGGGTCTCCCCACTTGTTCTCCCGAATAACCCTCAAATGACCCTTGAGGTAGGAATTATCATCCCCACCCAGTCAGTGAGGAGAGGCCTCAGAGAAGCCCAGTTACTTGTTGGAGGTCCCTGGGCAGTGATGCTGCCAGGACTGGAATTCAACTGTGCTCGGAGCAGGGGCACAGTCCTAAGTCTGCAGACGGGTGCCAAGAGCTGGGGCAGCATGTCGTGTGGAGGGCACCGTGTGTGGCTCCGTGGGTGTCCAGGTGCCCCCTCACCAGGGACATTCGGAGAAATGGCCGAAGTGCCAGAGGGTCGCTGGGGGTCCCAACCAACACAGCAGGGCACCAGACACAGTGCACACCCACAAGGACCCTGAGGGCAAGGTCACGGGGTAGGTTGAGAACTTGGCTGGAGCTCCTTCCTGAGCAGAGGAAAGTGGGCAGAGATGTCAGTAGAAGGCAAGGGGGGCTTGAATCCTACATGTGCCCCCCACCTAACCAGGCGGAGCCCCAGCAGCTGGCAGCCTGCACTGTCTTACTACTAGTCTCCAGTGCTGGGACTCCCTTCCCTGTCCTTTGCAGTGGGGTTGCATGTGACTGACTATCCTTCATCTACTCACTGAGGCACACAGAGGGGCCAGCTAGGGCTGGGCTACAAGGGGCTGGGAGGTGCCAGGCATGGTTCTGGGGTTCATACTTATAATCCCAGGACTTTGGGAGGCTGATGCATGTGAATCGCTTGAGCCCAGGAGTTTGAGGCCAGCTTGGGCAATGTGGCAAACATGGAGTTAAAATGTTTCACATGTAACTCACCCCTCTCAATGATCCTTGGCCCAAGTGACCATTATTATCCCCATTTTACAGATGAACAGATGGAGAAACAGAGGTTAAGCATCCTGCCCAAGGTTATACCATACCTGGACACTGACCAAACTGGGGCTTGAACCCAGGTGTCGGGCTCCAGTATAACCACAGTGCACCTGAACCCACCCATTCCTCCCACCTACCCTCCTCAGCCTTTCCCTCTCTGCACCCCCTCCCCACCTTGCCCATCTCCAAAGATGCTTCCATCCCCATGGCCTGAGGACCTGAGTATTGACCAGGGCTGAGTGACCTTGACCTAGCCATGGCTTCTGGGCATGATCTTGGCTACCTGCCTACCCCTAGTGTCTGCTCCGCCCTGCCCATCGGCTTGAGGGGAGTCAAGCCAGATCTCTGGAGTGAAGAATGGGCACCCTGCAGGCAGGCTGGCCTACAGGAAGTCAGATGAGAGCCAAGAGCTAGGCCCACGAGTCCCACCCACCACAGCCTTGCCATGTGCACAGACCACAGACCACAAAGACCTTTGTTCCTCCCAGTTTAAAATGTCAGGCCACCCTCCTAAAATGTGCAAGAAGATCTAGGCATGCATCTTGGTGACCCACGGTGACCACATCGACCCACGTCAGCTCTTCCCTCTCCTGCTACTGGCTTCAGGGTGGCCTCTATGGAAGACTGCAGGGTACCCCATTTCAGACACCATTGCCTTTCTCATCTTGGTCTTGTCATTCTGGGCTCTCCTGCCTCCAGACCAGTGGTCACTGCTGAACAGAAATGGAGGGAGGAGCAGCTGTTCCTTGGGCCCCAAGAGGCATGAGGATGGGGTCTTTGGTGCAAAGGACAGGCCAGACTTGGCCTCAGCCTCTCCCACTCCTGCTGCTCAGCTATCCATTGTCATCACCATGCGACTCTGCATCTCAGCCCACCAGGAGGCTGAGCCAGCCCATTCTTCTCATTTTATTTTATTCTTTATTCATTTTGAGATGAGTCTTGCTCTATCATCAGGGCTGGTGTGCAGCAGTGTGACCAAAGCTCACTGCAGCCTCCAACTCCTGGGTTCAAGTGATCTTCCCACCTCAGCCTCCTGAGTAGCTGGGACTATAGGCGTGCACCACTACCCCTGACTAATTTTTTGTTATTGTTTTTTGTTTTTGGTAGAGATGGAGTTTTGCCATGTTGCTCAGGCTGGCCACGAACTCCTGTTCTCAAGAGATCCACACACCTCGGTCTCCCAACGTCCTGGGGTTACAGGCATGAGTCACCCCATCCAGCCCCATTATTCTCACCTTAAAGGCAATGCGGCTGAGGTTTGGAGAGGTATGAACCGCTTGAGGGCACCCAGAGAGCCAATGGCAAAGCCAGGATTCAAGCTTCAGTCTATTCCTATAGCAATGAGTGTACTGCCCCATGATAGCCTTATAATATGCCCAGGAAAAGCTGTTTCTGGTTCTGATTCCCTGAGACACCCCAGACATGCCATTGAGGCAGAGAACACAGAAAGCCCGCTCTTCCCCTCGGTAGTTTTTCTTAACCACAGCACCCATGATTTTCCCTTTCATTTGTTTTCCCACCGATCAACATGATGAGAACATAGAGAAAACATAATAAGAGACCTCCCAAATGACAGATGTACCATAATGGCAGAGGAGTTGAACTATAGATAGAAGAAGGCTGGCCTTCTCCAAGCTGTCCCTGGGATGTTCTGCTCAGGCAGGACCTGCGCCCTCTCATTAAGCAGCCTCACAGCCCTCCCTTGGGCCCTGGGAGGCAGTTGGGTGGGGCATGGGTGAGGCTGTTAGCAGGGCTGGGTGGGGGGCACTTGCCAGGCACATCCCATAAAGTTTTGGGGAGAGTTTCAGCATCCTTCCATTGTGGACAACATTTCCTCTGCAGGGGCAAGGGGCTGGGGGCAGGACTGGGGTCAGGTTGTGGACAGGGGTCACCTGGGCTTGGGCAGGATTCCTGGCTGCCCTCTTAGGACAGATTCTTAGATATGGAAGATGGGTGTTCTGGGAGATCCAGAGGCAGGCGGTTCAGCACTATTGTCAGCTGACCTTCCTTGGCTACTTACTGCAAGCCAGCCTGATGCTAAGCATTTTCCATAAGTAGTCCCATTTAATCATCTCAATAACAATGTGCGGTAGTGTTAGGATTGTCCTTGTATACAGATGGCACATAGAGAGGTTAAGCAACTTGCACAGGGTCACGCAGCAGGTAAGAGGCGGAGACAGATTGAACCTAGGGACCTGTCTCTTGTGCCTGTTGGTGTAACCACAACATTACACTGCTTCCTCCAGAGGGCTGGGGAAGAGACCTATGGAGGGATGGCTCCGGCAGGGAGCCAGCAGGCTATGGGCTCAGCCCCATCTGGTTTGGCAGGCCCTGGATAAGGGAAGAGAGAAATAATGGCTGGCTATGTTTGAGGAAGACAGGAAGCCAGTAGGGGGAGAGGGAAGGAGGGACAGCTGACGTGGAGGATGATGTTCACGATCCTCGGAGCCTCCTGGCAGAAGTGACGAGTTACATCCATTAAGATGCAGCATACCTAGGGGAAATGGGGACAGCTGGGACTAGTCCCCAGAAACAGGATCCGACATGGGGGAAGCTGCACTGTGTCTCGGCAGCAGTGCACACCACAACTGGTACCCATCAAAGGGGGTTTATTAGAAAAGCCAACATACCAGAAACTGGCCGGGAGTCACAGGTCCCCAGGGTCAGCAGGGGTTGGGGACTGTGGGTCCCCTATGTTGAGAATACCCTGAGCCACACATCCCTTGGGCTGCAGATCCTCAAGTTCATGGGCCTCCAGGGTTCCTAAATTAAAGGATCCCCAGGGTTATTGGCCCCAGAGTAGAGGGCACCTGGGGCCACAGATGCTGGCTCCTGGCCCATGTCTCCTTCTAGTTTCTACTCCCGTGGCCAGAGAACCACTCCAGTGGTTACAAATGGGTTTGTGGTCAGTATCCAAGGGCAGCGAGGCTCTGTTAGAGGGAGGGTTCCACATGGAATCTAGACACTCTTGCCATCAACCGGGGCCCCTGTGTTGGTGTGGGAGGCTTTTGGCTTACAGAATGATGTGGTCTTGTCAGAGGCGTTTGAACCAGAGCAACTCCATCTTGAGTAGGGGCTGGGTAAAATGAGGCTGGGGCCTACCGGGCTAAATTCCCAGAAGGTTAGATATTCTAAGTCATAGAGTGAGATAGGAGGTCAGCACAAGATACAGGTCATAAGGGCCTTGCTGATAAAACAGATTGCAGTAAAGAAGTTGGCCAAAAGCAAGATGGCCATGAGAGTGGCCTCCGGTTGTCCTCACTGCTACATTCCCAACAGCGCCGTAACAGTTTACAAATGCCACAGCAACATCAGGAAGTTACCCTGTATGGTCTAAAAAGGGAAGGCATGAATAATCCACCCCTTGTTTAGCATATCATCAAAAAATAACCATAAAAATGGGCAACCAGCAGCCCTCAGGGCTGCTTTGTCTCTGGAGTAGCCATTCTTTTATTACTTGACTTTATTTATTTATTTATTTTTTGGATGGAGTTCAGGGGTGTGATCTTGGCTCACTGTAACCTCTGCCTCCTGGGTTCAAGTAATTCTCGTGCCTCAGCCTCCTGAGGAGCTGGGATTACAGGCATGTACCCCCACGCCTGGCTAATTATTGTATTTTTAGTAGAGATGAGGTCAAGATAATCTCGATCTCCTAACCTCAGGTGTTCCACCCGACTCGGCTTCTCAAGGTGCTGGGATTACAGGCGTGAGCCACCACACCAGACCATTATTTGCTTTCTTAAAAACTTGCTTTCACTTTATAGACTTGCCTTGAATTCTTTCTTGTGCGAGATCCAAGAACCATCTCTTGGGGTCTGGATTGGGATTCCTTCCCGGTAACAGTCTGAGGTTCCATCTCTGCTTGCGGTGTCAGAACAAAGGAGAGGGTCTGTGCCCTGTGGCCTGGGTAGAACAGGATCCTTCTGTAGGAGGTGTTGGAGGGGGATGGTTCTTGACCAAGTGGAAAGTAGGCAGCAGGCAGGAAAGACCAGAGCTAAGGCAAGATGGAATGGCTCCCGCACCAGGCTGCCTTGGGCTACGGTGCAGTGCCAATCCTCCCTGAAGGGCTCCAGAGAGCCTGGTCATGCTTAGTCCAAAGAGGCACATCTAACACAGGAAGGACCAGCCATCTGGGAAGCTGACAGGCACCCTCACTGGGAGTCCTTTAGGCCTGAAGGGACAATCACCAAGGCTCCTGCAGGGGGTCTGCCTTGCTGCCTCTCCAAATCCCCAAAGTGGAGGTCTTCTGCTCGCTGTTCACTGAGAGTCTGGACACGCCAGCCACTCAGGATGGCTGCCCTGGAGCTCCCAACCCTAGGAGTGGCCTGGAAAGCAAGACAAGTGACAGTCTGGCCTGGACTCCCTGGGACCAGCCCCACTAGGCAGCTAAGTGAGTGATAAGAAGACTGGTTTCTTTCTGCTGCGTAATTCGCCGGTGCTAATAAGGCCAGCGTTGTACACATTTACAAAACCTTTGATTTCACAATTACCAAGGGCCTTGCCAAGTATTAATTAAGCCTCAAAACCCCTGGAGCCTGCAGCAGATTCTCATTAACCTCATTCAGCAGAGGCTACGACTCTGTTTTCCTGCCAGAGCCCCGTGGATGTAGCGATGGCTCCAGCCCTGGGAGCCCAGCTGGCAGAGTTCCCACTCCATGTTATGGGATGATGGACATCAGGGAGGCTTTGGGGCTCTTAATAACTCTGTGACTCTCACAGCGGAGCCCAGTTCGGACCAGACAGATCACAGGCTTCTATTGTGAGTAGCCGACAAAGAAAGGATCTCCCCACCCTCTGGCTTTATTGAGATCTAAGTTACATACCGCACACTGCACCTATTGAACGCATTCCACCCAGTGGCTTTTAGCGTATTCACAGAGCTGTGCATCCATCACCACAATCAATATTAGAACATTTCATTAACCCAGAAAGAAACCCTACACCCCTTGGCCATTTTCCTGGCATCCTCCCCAGTCCCACGCAGCCACGAATCTACTTTCTGTCTCTAGAGATTTGCCTACTTTGGTTTGTTTTTATTTATTTTTATTGCGGTAAAATATCTATAAATACAACTTTTCACTTTAACCATTTGCAAGTGTCCACTTCGGAGGTATTCAGTACATTGACCTTATTGTTCAACCATCACGACCATCATCTCCAGAGCTTTTTCACCTCCCCCAGCTGAAACTCTGTGGCATTAAACATTAACTCCCCACTCCCCCTGCCCCTGGCAACCATCATGCTACTTTCTTTCTCTATGAATTTGACTACTCTAGGATCTCATATTAGTGGAATCATATGGTATTTGTTCTTTTGTGTCTGGCTTATTTCACTTGGCATAATTTTTTTTTTCTTTGAGATGGAGTTTTGCTCTTGTTGCCCAGGTTGGAGTGCAATGGCATGATCTCAGCTCACTGCAACCTCCGCCTCCTAGGTTCAAGCGATCCTCCTGCCTCAGCCTCCTGAGTAGCTAGGATTCCAGGGGCCTGCCACCATGCTCAGCTAATTTTTGTATTTTTAGTAGAGACAGGGTTTCATCATGTTAGCCAGGCTGGTCTTAAACTCCTGACCTTAGGTGATCCACCTGCCTCAGCCTCCCAAAGTACTGGGATTATAGGCATGAGCCACTGCGCCCAGGCTTTTTTTTTTTTTTTTTTCTTTGAGACAGAGTTTTGCTCTTGTTGCCCAAGCTGGAGTGGAATGGCATGATCTCGGCTCACTGCAAACTCTGCCTCCTGGGTTCAAGCAATTCTCCTGCCTCGGCTTCCCAAGTAGCTGGGATTACACACTTGGCATAATGTTCTTAAGGTTCATTGGTCTGTTTTTAAGATATGAAATATTTCAAGCAAAATTATAGAAAACAATATACAGCACGCCTCCATAATTCAACTCAGACATCTCAGACTTGACAAGTGCTAACATTCTGCCATAATATTTGCTTTTCAGTGTTTTGTTTTTGATTGTTTGTTTTGCTAAGGTCCTCCCCAGAGCTAACAAAGTTCTAAAGTTAAAATGTATCTTTCTTTTTTTAATAAATTTTTCTTAGCTACCCTATTAACTGAGAAGTTAGTATGTATGAGATAATTGAATCATGGGGGCGGGTTTTTCCCATTCTGTTCTCCTGACAGTGAAAAGTCTCACAAGATCTGATGGTTTTATAAAGGGCAGTTCCCCTGCACACACTCTCTTGCCTGCTGCCATGTAAAACATTCCTTTGCTCCTCCTTCACCTTCCACCATGATTGTGAGGTCTCCCCAGCCATGTGGAACTGTGAGTCCATTAAACCTCTTTTTCTTTATAAATTACTCAGTCCCAAGTATTTCTTCACAGCAGTATGTCTTTATTAACAGCATGAGAACAGACTAATACACAAGGCCATTCCTGTCTCACCTGGGCAGACACAGACACCTCCTGAGCAGAGGAATTGCTGAACACTAAGTGGGGCCAGGACTTTGACTCCTCCACCACCACCCAGCTCTGTGATCAGAGCTGTGAGGGGAACATCTGTTATAGGGACAGCACCTAGTGCTTTTCATTTCAATTTCCGCAATGACTAATGGTGCTGTGTTTTATCACCAGTGGCAAGTAGTCCAGATACAGATGCCCATACCCTAGGATGCTGGGATTTCCCAGGCCACCATGAGGCCTCTGTGAGGGCAGGCTGCAGGCCAAGGGTTGTGCCAGGACCCCCACTATGCTCAGCATGAGTGGTGCCCAACACCCCTTCATGCTCAGTCCCTTACCTGTGACAGGCCAGCTGCTGGGTGGCACCTGGTTCAGGCAGTACCAGGTGCTGAGAATTCCTCCGGCCATCTGTAGTGGCCGCTCTCAGAGCACAAATGCCCTTGTGGTACCAGGAGTAAGTGATCTGGTGGAGCTGCCCGGGCTAAAGTCCTGTGTGCTGCCTCCCATGAGTCCACTCCAAACCTGTCAGGAGATAAGTGCTACCCCGTTGAATGGTTGGGGCCTCACAAAGTGGGGTATTGCCTGTTTCTGCACCCAAAGTGGGCTCCCCAGTGACTCCCTATCAGGTTCTGTCACCCTGTCCCACCTCCCAGCTCCTGTTGGCAAGAACCCCAAGGGAGGATGCAGGCAGTTGGGCCTCACCCTTCACCCCACCATCCAGAGAGGCCCACACCCAGGTTTCTTGCCCTTCCCCATTGTCCTGTGTCTGACATTGACCACAGCCCCAAGCAGTTTGACACTGGAAGTGCTTGGTGGTCATCAAGAAGGCCAAGGACAGTGACTCATTTGACCTGCTCCTTTCCCTGACACTCTGGAACCCCAAGACATCCTCCCTCCCCTGTGGGCCAGTGGAGGCTTAGGGGCTGAGGGCCCATCTGTCTGGGCACCTTCCATGGCTCTGTAGGGGCATGCAGCCAGGGGCACTGCCACTCCTCTTCACAGGGCCCAGGTGGCACCTGGAGGGCACAAAGGAAGGCCCAGAGGATCTTTGAGGGAGTGACTGAGCCTTATGGCAGAGCCACACCACCCCCGGGCTGTGCACCCCATGTCTGTAGCTACCAGGTGGTGCCAGGAGGCCTAGGGGAGTGTCTGCTGCACAAGTAAACACAAAGATCACAGCCTCCCTCCTCAGGGCACACCCCGCCTGGTTCCTCTGCATTCTTTTGCCCCTGAGGCAGGTGGCAGCCATCCCAGGGGGCCTCCCAGCAGGGCTGCAGGAGGCATGAGAGGCACCCTGCTGGCTCCACCTGAGTTGCTGACAGGACTCTGTGCTCCCGGTGCAGGGATCCCCAGGCTGACCATCTGGCCTGTAGCCAAACCCTTCCTCACTGAGCCTCCACCCCAGGTTCCTCAGGCTGGCCCCACATTGAGTGCCTGGCTCCAGTCTTCACTGTCAAGGCCCCAGGGGAGTTCCCTGGACTGAGAATAGCAGATACAGCTGCAGCTCTCCACCCTGTGCCAGGCACGGCCCAGCTCCTCACAAACCTTATCTCTGGCACTGGGGCAGAGCCAAGGCCCCTGCCTCCAGTTTGGCCTTGAACTCCCCACCTTCGTTATCTGAGCGTGGACCCTGCACCTGCACAGTCCCCCCCAGCCCTGTGGCTGCTACTGCTGCAGTAGCCTGGCTAACATGAAGGCCTTGTTCACCCACCAGGCCTGACCAGCCGGGCTGCCTTCTCTCAGGACTTTGATGGACAAGGAGAGGAGGGCCCCACTGATATGCCACAGGACAAGGAACAGGACAAGACTCGTGAGTGGCTCACAGGCCAGGGGCCAATGGCCAAATAATCACATTCCTCACAACCAAATGCAATTCTCCCAGCTGGCCTATTGTAGATCTCGGGTCAAGATTTATGTGCTATAAAACTTGGTAACAACTGACCGACAAGTTGCAGCCTGCACCGGAGAAGCAAGAGGGAGCGGCTTCCATCTGTCTTCCCAAAGCCAACTCAGAGGGTCTGTGCTGTG